TACATATGGCCTGCGGTGAGGTGATAACTATTAAAACTGTATTGAAAATTGATACATGTATCAGTAGTTACTGACCCAGCTGGCAACATGTATCTCATATTTTATCTCATGAAATGCCATATTTTATGCTATAATATCGGTTTTAATCTTACTTTTAAGAATAAAAGACTGGGCATTTCAACCGATTTCACCAAATTTTCTCCTGCTTTGGCGCCCCAGATAAATTATTCAGAATCGTTTAATCCGAACCGCGACATGGACACGCTTGCCCATGCCTTTTAAAATTATTTTTTTAGGCTAGTTTTCTGCGGCGCTCGCAACTGCATAAGGTCACATGAGCCCGTAGGACACATTAAACATTTTCAGTTTGGTAGGAATTTTGAACTTTGCCCGGGTGGCAGCCGAAGCCCACTCTTATCGATTTTAGGACAACCACGGGATTTCTAACAAGCGCAACTTGCACACTCCGCGATTTTTCGCCCTTATCCGAGAGGCTAGGTGTTAGGTCTTACCTTCCTTAAGATCAGTGTTGAGGCTGAAAGACAGTAGAAAGGAGCCAAGGAGTAGCAGTAGAAAGGCTGCAGAAAAAGTCAGTAGCCCAGAGGAGGGGGCAAAGGGGAGGGGGAAGGGGCAGAAAGTGGAGACGAGAGCAGACAACAGAACATGGTTAGAGAGCAAGAAAGGAGGTGAAATGAGAAAAAACATTTCCGTTGCTCTCAGGTTCCAAACCCAAGACCTATTGAACGAGTGGCGAACACCGTAGGTAGGCCTATCTCTAGACCACGAGAGCCCCCCCCCGGCCTTTAATTTCAGTTCTGTGATTTTGTTATGCGTTCGCGTAATTAAGTTTAAACGAGTGCTTGAAAACCTGGGAGGTATCGCCTAATGCGCACGATATGGAAATTTTTGTTGTCGGTGTGGATCCCTCGGGTAGTGAGTGACAGGTGTTATTTAACTCGGACATGTACAAATAAATATTAAAAAAAACCAAAAACACCCCTATTTTTTTTAAAACGTGGTAAGGGAAGTAATCCGAAAAAATCAAAGTACATGATACGTGACAGAGTTGTGTCCACTGTTAAACCTCTCCCGTCTCATTCACACCGTTACCGCTATATCCCCATACCCCTGTCTAGGAATAAGAAAGACGACACTTTTTGAGTGCGCACACACGCGGCACACACATACATACATACACACACACACACACACACGCACAATGTGCATATGTGTGAGTTATATCACCCTATCCCTCCTTATTTTTATTCTTTAACAGGAGTTGCATGTACATTGAACCTGCTCTTACAGCCACCAGTATAATTTAATCACCGACTTATATAAAACAAACATCCACTTTACGTTTCCCCCCTTGCGTTTTTTAAAAACATTATGACACTGTTTAAGACAATAACCTGACAATTTTATGAGCGCCAGACAACAACGTCCAATTTTAACCCTCAACTTAGGGTGGCCTTCTTAGACAATTTCAACATTATTTGTAACTTCGAGACCGCAGGATTTCTTTTGGTTTAGCAAAGTTTTTGGTTTAGAGAGGTTGCTCCAATAGAAGAAAAAAATAAATGATTGTAATTTTCTTCTGCATTTAAGTGAATGATATTAGTATGAGCCTCACAGGCTGCGATATTGTATCCAAGGGGGAGTTGAGATGGTAAATAGGAATTAACTGGCCGGCTACAGGATTTACTATGAAGTCATCCCAGCTTAAAGTGACTAAAAACATGCAGTTCTAATAACAGAAAAACAACATACAAACAAAGAAATAAACAAACAAACAAGAAACCAACAATAAAAAAACCTGTTTTTGTAGCATACCCATATGATGAAGGTCAGATCTACGTCCAGTTCAGTTTTAGTAAAGGTTTTACGGCGCTCGCAACTGAATAAGGTCACATGAGCGCCAGAAGATTAGAGGTGTTACAAGGGAGTAACAAACATAAAAAAGAAGAAGGGGAGATACGGACGATGGATGTTGATAAGAAAGAAGGGGCAAACCACACCAGAGCACCCGCCAACCACCCACAGATCTACGTTCTCATTTTCTATCTGGGTGCAAATGTTTGGCTGTTTTTCCTTGTACTATCCTCTCAAATAGGACTGTAAAGACAAGCATCTCCCTTAATTAAACAATTTAATTTCAATAAAGAATGGGATAGAGCAAAACTAAATGTGTCACGACGTGGTGGAATCTGGCGCTCGTCTATTTTTGGATATATGGAGTTATGAGTTATAGATGTGATCTTAAAGCTTGTTCATTTGTCTACTTTTTGACGAAAAAATAACAAATTTTTCATGAATAGAAGTCGAGATATTTGCGATTGGAGGATTCAAGGAGGTGGGGTCACCTGGTTTCAGCAATGAAATTAGCGAGAAAATGGCCACCAAAGTTTGGTGAGTTCCATAACTTGAGAGTCCTTGGAAATTGAAAATTTACATTTTTTATGCCTTTAACCAATGGTTTTCAGAAAAAAATCAACACAGAAATGTGTTTTAAATGGACTGAAAGGTGCTGAGCTAAAAAAGAATTTTTTTTTAATCACTTAGAAAAATGCCAGTTTAATTGATTTCATTATTTTGATAAGCCCCTGATTTCACCATGATGCATCACAAAAAGGCATCAGTGATCCACTGTTAAGGCTGTCAGCCTTGTAGTTGAAAGGTTCAAACCCCATTACAGGCCCTGGCATGGTATCTATGGGAAAGGAAAATTTTTCTCACATCGCCCAGGTGAAAATGGATACCCGACCGACCATAGACAACAAAAGATTTTGCCAGCTGGTTAGCTTTTGAGCTCTTAGTCAGCTTCTCGCACTGTATATTACCCTGGAAGCTGAGAATGTTTCTGCGTGTTCCAGGGTCTACACAATTATAAACGCAATCACTATTCTTAAATACACACACTGAACAGTGTTGAACATGGTTCCATTAAAATTAATATGATTTAGGGGCAAAGATCAGTGGAAAAGAGAAGCACAAAAAAAAAAGTCAATTTCATAATAATCATCTTTCACTTTCACACTTTCCAATATGGTCAGGGGACACAGAAAAGAAAATATTATAGTATTACATGTATATATCACAGTTTATTTTAAGCAAAGAGCACAGTCGCTTGTTAGAAACTCTAAACAAACATACAATTCAAAGTGTGTACATCTATACACAAGAATCTTTCTTTAAAAAAAAACCCCACCTCACCAAAAATAACAATGTCGTCAAAACAAATTTTGCCTAGAGAAATGGTTAAACAGAAATAAAAAGTTTTATCTGTTATAGCAACAGTTTGTCTGAAGAAAAATGACAGTCATTACTAATAAGCAATTACATGTGCATCAACAACAACAAAAAAAGTATTTTCTTTCTAGTTCAAAAGATCAAGGAAAAGCAGAACCAGAGAAACCATGAAACCATCACTTGCAGAAATACGTGCAAACTTCAACTAATGTAGTTGAAACTGCTAAGCCAGCCACCTGTACAAATGGTCACTTTCCATTCCCCCCCCTCCTCCCGAGTTTTTTTCTACATATAACGACACTGGGAAAAACGATAACCTGTTCAATGTGGCTGCGACCACTATATTTGATAAACCAACAGCCCAAAAATCTGTCTAAGATGGCCACGCAAATCCCTCATCACCTGACTCGTTGTCATAAATTATATATCGGCCCCTGACCCTGTGGATGAGCCGTCATAATCCATTCACCTGTCGTTATTTTTATTTCCTCCGGCGAATGAACCGATCATATTGCGCAGGTCCCGCCTACTGTTTACCCAAGTTGACCAATTGGTTACAATGTTACAGCTGCTAGTTTAGGAGGCATATGGACCGTCATGATCTATTAGCCCCACCCACAACTCTAACCATATACAAATCATAAGCGAGATGAGAAGTCGCTCTGTTTACTAAGTTGATAACAATGAACGTTAACATGAACTTGCGACAGCAGTGTTGCTAGTCCACTGAGTGGTGGCAACCTGTCTGTTTGTTTAAATTTAACCAATGCATTCAGGCTTTCTCATCGGACTCATTTCATTCCGTTTTACCCTTGCACACTGTCTTCTAGTCTGATACACTTCATAGAATTCAACACTAACAACAGCTGCACCTTTCTAATCTCCTCCCAAAAGAAAATAAATAAATTTGTATGGGCCTTATGCCAGTAGGAAGCCTGCAACTACCTCCAATTGGGATTTCTGAAGGGAATGTCTTTTTTGTGTTTTCTTCCCCCCATTATGATCCGTCCTGCCTACCATGGTCATATGTCTAAGACAGCTATTTTTCTTCTTGACAATGGGTGGCTGTCTTAGACTTCACCAAAACTTATACAAGCCAATTACTCGAAACTTTTCTTTCTTTCGACTACCATCATTTCCTTATCCGAAAGTTGTTTGATGCAGCCTACCATATACAAAAATAAACATGTTGACAAATACCTTAAATATTCAGTAAAAGTAGGCAGTACAAAAGCAGATGCAGGATTAGTGGGAGGAAAAGTCATTAAAATATATGTAATATGTTCGATAAATAAATCTCTTATCTAATATAGAAAATAACCTCACGGAAATATTGTAACAATAAACTTTAACAAGCATACATAACTGCAATGGAGGGACATTTTCTTTCAAAGATTTGGTCACTTCATAATAAGAACAAAAGTATTTTTTATGAATCTGTTCATGTATTTCTTAAATATATAGAGTCATGAATAAGAAAAAAGTTTTGAAAAAGAGTTAAACTAGACAGTAAAGCAACTCTGCTTTCAAGTTCTTCTCATGGCAAAGAGTCTTACAGAGCAATTCTCAATACCATGAACTGGGCTGGATTGGTGCAATGTAAAAATGTTCTTTTCCTTTGTCGAAAATCCTTTCAATACAGTAACAGACTAAAAGGGCACCAAAGATGAGTACGGCCATAAGGGCATAATTCTCGCTGTGCCATTTGCATAGGCTACAATTTAAAAAGCCATTCTGGTAAGATACCAATAATATTTAAATTTGCATAAAAAGACAAGACCGGAATTTAAAAGTTTGAACAAATCTTATCCTGCAGAAAGTAGCTGCCAATGTTCTTTTTCAGTATATATAACTCTTCAAATCAACACCGACAACCGCTGTCGAGAACCATAGATTCAACAACATGTAAGGGCATGGGCACAAAAAAGCCATACAAGGTCAGAACCATATATCCCCATTACAAATCTAATTTAATCTACACAAACGATTAAAGAACAAACAGCAGGGGGATGAATCCATGCCCAAGTAAATGTTTGAAAAAGTAAACTGAGATTGAAAGCACAATGAACCCTCGCCAAAACATTGAATTGCATTTACAAATACAGTTTCTGCTGCCATAAAATTTCACACACCGAGAGAACACAGTATAAATCAGTATAATTTTTTCAAGATAGAAAAAAAAAAATTAAATAAAAGACCAATACTGACTCATCAACAGCCCAATTCCTAAAATGGCTCACACACGTTCAGATTTTCGTTCGTTTTTTGGTCTTTAAATTGTATCATATTGAAAGGTTTCATGGCAAAATGCACCCCAGGTCGATTTAACAAAAACTGAGTTATCTCTATCATTTGCGACCTGACTAATGACTTTATCTAATATAGTAGATTGTTTGTGACAAAATGTGCTCAAACCATGTTTTTATGAGGATCAAATTTTTGTGTTTTTGCAAAACGCACTATTCACTTTTTATAGTTCATAGCAAAATGCACTTTATCCAGTGAGCCAATTGGAGCTCTCAATTTAGCTCTACGTTTCACAAACATTGGGTCAAGAAAACCTTTGTCATTAAACCCTTCAACTATTCCATTCCAGGTCATATTTTCTAATGTCACTATTACTCTGGAATTAATATTCTATTACACTGTAATTTCATTTTTTTTTTATCAAAAGAATTTTTACTAAATAAAAAAAGCCAACTTTCAACAAACTTTTTATAAAAAGTGTAATTTTTCAATAAACACTCATATACTCTCAAACTCATGAGGTTCTAGAAGACATGCAGAAGAGAACATCAGAATACCAAAGTTTTGGGAAAAGAAAATGGCACTCTTCTCCAACATACCCTTCACTTCGAAAACCATGCTAAAATGGAAGGGTAGCTTGTGGCCAACAAAGAACGGGAACTCTCGTTTATTTTAAATAGCCGATATAAAAATTCTATTAGTGAAAGAAGCAATGCATTTTCGGCTATCGTCAAAAATGGGAGTCAATCCCAAATTCGACGATCATCAAAATTGAGACTGAAAGGGTTTAAACCATAAAAAGCTTTGACACATGGGTTGAAACAAAGACAGACAATTAAGACAATGCTTATATGTTTCATCTATGCAGACCTTTACAGAAAAATGCACCAGTGTTTTGAGTTTGTCAACAATTTCCTACACCACAACCCGCTACGCCAGCCTATCAATGACACCCTTGATGAAAGCCACAGTCAGCTGATAGGAGATGTCGTTTTCACTGTGAGGCTTGCATGTGTTGATGTGGTTGACAGGTAAACTGACAAACTTGCCAAAACCAGGGTCTGTGACAAGAGAAAATCATCAGGTTTCCTAATTTTCTACACTTTTTGTTTTTGTTTTTGTTTTAGTAAAAGTTTTATGACACTTGCAACACAATTAGGTCACACAAATGCCTAAGATCAAAGGTGTTCCAAGAGAGAAACAAACACAAAAAAGGAGGAGATATAAGGACAATGGATGTTAAACAAATGGGACTTCAATCTGATTTCATAAGGGAAAAGCTAGTATGGAATTAGATATGAATAATTTCTCTTCTTTACTTCAGTGGAAGTCGGATTCAACAAGAACTCGGATTCAACGAAAGGACATGGATTCCTGTTTTTTTCCCTCCCTTCTTTAAAATCAATAAGAATAATCTGGACTCAACGAACACTTAAATCAGTAAGCTCGGAATCAACGAGTTCGCTTCTAGGGTGAACAGCCCCCTGCAGACGTGGCTTCGCTCATTTTTTTCCCACAACAAACTTTATCTATTCCCGGAAACCATCCATTGCACCGGCATCGTGAACAATTATTCGCTTAGTTGATTGCATGCAACCAATCAGCGGCCTTCTTTCATATCAACACACGCATTGTTGGCACGTGCTTGTGTCTGGGTCGGATGGGCGGCCTGCACATATATGACTGTGGGTGTGTGTGTTGGGCGTGGAACGTCGCAGATACAAACTCGTCAGTCTTCTTCCCTGCGGCAACTGATCATTATTACAATGATAAGCCAGTCTTGACGTAGATCAATGTAATGAATTGTGCGCTGGTCTATGAAATCAAAAGTTGCCGTATGCTAGGCTCTACACAGCAACCCAACTTTTTGGCAAGCAATCGAGATGACACTGGCGTGCATTAGAACGTATGCGTTTTTTTTGCACAGCTCCTAATATGCAGGCATTTCAGGCACCACTTGTCACTTCTCTTTATACATTACTTGCTCAGTGCCTGTAATTATCTACACAAAACTTCATGTTTGCTATAACGAGCACTCCGATTCAACTAAATTTTTGGTCAGGACCGGTGACCTCGTTGAATCGGAGTTCCACTGTATCAAATCAACAGAATTTATTGTGTGGCGAGATCTGTAGAATACTGGATGAAGGGCCACTGATATGATTAATAAATGAAATGGGTATGAATATACCAAAATGATCCTATCTCAAGCTTTGAAACACCTGAAGGTCATCCCATTTATCCTCATATTATTCTTCACCCCTTTCTTCAATAGAAATCCCCTTCTAAAGAAAAGGAGAGACTAATGAGAACCAGGTCACTCAGAGAGGTCTTAAGCATACATCTCTGTATTGAATGCCTATACTGTTACAGACATATGAAATGTATGACTTTCGTAAGCACAGAAAATATGAAATATTATGTTTTCATCTTAGTTTAGTTTTAGTAAGAGATTTAACGCTCTTTCAACACAATAAGGTCATAGAAGTACCCAACAACAGAGTTGTTACAAGAGAGTAACAATAAATACAAAAAAGAAGGAAGAGAGATAAGGACGATAGATGTTGGACAGGAAAGAAGGAGAAAACCACACCGGAGCACCTGCCAACTACCCACATGTTTTTATCAAAACTTACCGCTAGAACCTGGAGGGACAACTAAAAGCTTGGGTAGAGGCCTTCCCACAGCGGTCTTTGCGTTTTCCCCGAAACTAAGCAGAGGCACCGAGTGTGTAGTCATAAAGTTGAGAAACTGATCATGCAGGTCGCTCAGTCTGGGGGAGGCTGTCAAAATATAAAACTCAAGATTTTAATGCATGAAGGCAATAACAGGGTCACAACAAAACGATTTACATGGAACCTATTTCTTTCTTTGAAAAAAAAAACAGTACACGCACCAGCCAGTCTGAATAAATGCTGTGTAAAAGCACAATTTGCATAAATGCAGGATTTTGTCAAACACATTCCCTTCTCAAAATACTGAGCAAAATCAACAGATGGTTTAAAATTTTAAATCTTAATTTTTATCTTTCTAACATTTCCACCAAAATTGTTATCTATTTTAAAAGCACTTTTTATCCGCGAGGGGGGTAAACCCCTGAAAACTAATTTGATGTTGAAATGGTCGCAAAGAAATGTCCCCGAGCCGTCAAACTCGCAGCAGAACAAAAAGGGTTCAGCCTGAAAATTCCACGATGACTGCAGTGGAAGAACAACCATCGTAGGGGCCAATGACAGATGGTTTTGCATTGTAATGATCAATAGAGCAATTTAAAGGAAATTGTCACTGATGACCACTGGAAACTCAACTCAGGTTGAGGTTGCTTACTTTCTGTAATCATGAATACAATTTTCATTTCACAGTTGACCAGGATTGTACTTGTGCTGTTTTTGAGAATTAAAAATGGTGTTCTAAGAATGTTTAACCAAAATTTTCTAAAAAGCTATCAGCAGTTCTGATTCTGTCATTTGACAGAAGACACACAACATAAAAGCCAACAAGAAAGGTGCATCATCATAATTTTGTGCACAGAAGCGGGCGTAAAACATGACAGAGCTATTGTCCCTGGACGTTGTACGATACTTGTCTGTTACCGAGTTCAAACTTACTAGGTGGGTGGTTGGCGGGTGCTCTAGAGTGATTTGCTTCTTATTTCCTATCAAACATCTATCATTCTTGTCTCTCCTTCTTTTTTGAGTTTGTAACTCTCTTGTAACACCTGTAATCTTTGGCACCTATGTGACCTAACTCTTATTTGGCACTCATAAGACCTTATGCAGTAGTGAGCGCAGTAAAACCTTACTAAAACTAACCCTAACTAAAACCAACTTACTAGTCAGGAGCTCTTGCACTTCAACAGATGGGAAGAGTAAATACTTTGCGTACATCATGGCGTCCACAATGGCAGAGCCGTGGTGGGGAACACTATACATAACAATGCCTTTGGTATTGGACTTCAGATCAGACGACTCTTGATCTTCTCCACTCAGAGCAAGTATTTGTTTGATGAGGAGACCTGCATGGAAAACAAAAACAACAAAAATTAAGAGAAAAAAAATTCAAGCATTTTCCACAGCAACAAATCAAGTTACAAATCAATATCCTTATATGATATACAGCTCATAATATAACAGTATAATATATGGAGCAATTCAAGTGCATCTAACTTAAAGCTGCTTGTCTACAAAACATTTTTTGGGCGCACTTTCAAAATAAAGCAAAAACAAACAGCTGATTCAGAATTGAAAAAATACATATAAAAGTACTTTTATTCAAATTTTAAAAACTGACAACATATGGGCCGTTATATCAGGCACAACACACATATCCCTGAAAGTTTCCAATCTGTCAAATAAAAAGGAGCTTTCAAAAATCATACCTCCCATAGAATGCCCAACCCAGATTATGGGTCTTGAGCCAACACCGGCTTGCTTTAGCTTTTTCATCAGCTCGTGTCCTCGACCTTCGAGGGTTCGTCTGAGAAAAAACACAAAAAACCCCCCATCAAAATCAAAGAAACAAATTAATTAAAGTCATCCTTTGGTGAAAAAATAATTAGTCATATATCTCCTTGAGCTGCAATACATACTTTTTACATGCAGTATCAGTTTCAGTCCACAGAATATGCTCAAAATGTTTGTGTTCATTGTTTTGCACCAGTTGCCTTGTAAACAAAGAAAACAACCACAATTTTGGATTGTCCCCATGGCTATTGGGGCTTCTTTCGCTGACGTTATTTATGGTACCTGGGCACATTAGAGCCACTCCTTTGATAAAGTACTTAGAAAATATACTTATGAATATGGACAAATGAACCTACATTGCCTAATTTAGTCCCAAAATATGACTTCCTAACATTGTAGGGAAGGGTTTTCAGAACAAAAAGCAAATTAAGGCAGGATGAGGTTGAATTAGGCACTTGTCATTTTTTTGGTATACGGAGGTATTAGTATAAGCTTAAAGCCTATTCATTTGCCTTGTTTTTAATGAAAAAAATTTCCATATATCTTGAATGGAAGTCAAAGTATTTGCATTTAAAAGAGGAGGGGGTTGCAAGAGAGGGAGCGGAGAACAAAGGCAAAAGGAACAGGGTTCATATCACGAGCAAGAAATAGTTCATTATATGGTACAAGTAGAGCATAAGTACACTGTTCAAGCCCACATACAGACTGAAAGAAAAAAAAATCCTATCAAAATACAGAGTAATCAAATTTATTATCCCCTAAGCTTCAGAAATTTACCTCCAAGTTGGGAGAAATCACAGCACTAAACTAACAAAGAGCATTCTCTTACTTGTCTTGTTCAAAAGGGCAATAGTCCCCCCAGCGATGCAGACTTGAATTGTACCCAATGCTGAGGATTCGAATGTGTGGGCAGTCAGCAGCCAACCAGTCCTAATCAGCAAGAAAAAAAAAAGAAGAAAATTGAAAAAGCAAACACAAATTCACTTACAACAACATGGGCTTCATTTATCACCTACAGTAAACATCAGTTGCTTCTACTGTCTCAAAAAACAACAACAACCCCTTGGTGTCACAAAAAGATGGGTTCCCATCATTGCTCCTCAGTCACATGTCTCCTTCAGCATATGCATGTGAATATCTGGAGGAGGAAATCTAAAATTCATGGCTTCACAAGGAATGTGCAGGCATCTACATCTTGCAGGGTAATAATAAATTAAGCCAAAAGGTGACCCAAATATAAGACAAACTCACGAGAGGGGCTATAAACAATCAGATTATTCTATAAAGGTCCTTCGATACGAGGAAAGAGTTATCTATTGTTCTATTTCTTAAAAGAAGTTGAATTGAAAATGAAACAAAGGTATAAGTTCCACATATCACCTGAACAGCAGAAATCTTCATCCACTTCATACATTCATAAACAAGACAATTTATTCAGCTTAAGGTGTACATCAGTTTTAATAAGAGTGTTACGGCACTTGCAACACAATTAGGTCATAAAAATATTGAAGATCAGAGTTGTTGCTAGAGAGCAGCAAACACAAAAAAGTAAATATATGCAACAACATTTAGGTCTAATTATGCCATAAAATGTTCCTGTCTGTCTTACTCTTTCAAGTCCCTGACAGTTGATAGAGAGGACTGTTAGATGCATTAGCCCTTTGACTCTAAAATTTCATTCCACGCTTGGATAATTTTAAATTTTGGTCAGTCAAAATAGAGCACAGGGTCACTTACATAGTGGGCTATAATTTCTCACTAATTTAAGCAACAACAGTGTTTCATACTTCATTAGAAAAGGATATGAATGAAAAATCAAACTATGTTAACTGCTGGGCCACAATATCAATCAAATTGTAATTCAAGGCGATAACAACAAACTGGACCGAAAACATTCAGTGCAAAAAAATATGTCAAATTTGCGAATGACAACAAAGTACAAAATATAAATTACCAAGGAGCTGTTTTCTAATGAGTGATTTATTCAATGTACATTCTTTTCAGAATATATGCATGTCATTTTTCATTGTAAAAAATTATGATTCACAAAATTTCAGCTATTCTTAAGCAATCAGCTGAGCTTTGAAACTGTTACCATACAGCCACACACTGAAATAATGCACGATTGAAAAACTACTCTTCTCATTCAAACTATCAAGAAATCAATTGAATAGACCCTTCTAAGAGAAGATTTAACGTCTGTGGAATATTAGTCACTCTTTGAGCAAACTGAGTCTTTTTTTGTGTTTATTTTAAAGTAAAATATCACATTCTTATCCGCCGGTGACACTGGCCACTTGGCAAAACAGGACCAGCTTACTGGCGGTACCACTGACCACTTGGAGACAATGGATTAAATACTTTTACTGTAAACTTTGTAAAGAATGTAACATCAGTGGTCTACTGGTTAGGGATTTGAGCTTACAACTAAAAGGTTGTGAGTCTGAACCCCATCAGGGCCCGATGTTGTGTCCTTGGGAAAGACACATAAAACAAATTTTCCCCAATTTACCTCAGAGGTAATCAATAGGTTCCTGGCTATAGACAGTGAATGAAAAATCTTGTCAGTTTATTAGTGTTTGCTTCTCGGGAAGCTGAGAATGTTTCTGAGTGTTCTAGGGTCTGCTGGGGAAAATAATGGTTGTAAAGAGCATAGAGCATGCTGTTTAATGGGAATACATATGCTATATGAAAGCTGTTCATTAATTTTTATTTCATTTATTTATATATTCAAAACAAAGTACCTTAGGCCAACATTGTGAAGTGATTCCTTCATCATTATCCTTTTGACGCCATGTTCTTACTGCACCACCTCTCAGTCCATGCACAAACACAATGTCTGCTTTTGCTGGTTTACTGAGTGCAAAAAACGTTAAACATAAAGATCATTAGAGCATTCACTAATTGCAAAAATACCCTGGATCTAAGTGACTATTTTTTTAAAGGGATATTTCCATCTACCAAAAAGGAAATGTTAAAAAAAACCCAACTATCCCATAGTTCCACTTAAGACGTTCATAAGAAAAGATAAACCCAAAAGAGAAGCGTACAAGCTGCACACAACCACAAGATGAAAGATGAAGCTTTCAAACGCTCAAAATGTGGTAAACTCTTCTTTGCCAGAATTAGTTTCATTGACCAAAGAAGAAACCACAAGTCATCTTAATCCTTATATCTTCTATGTCGCTATTCATAGGTCATTATCAGACATTGACTAAGGAACTATGATTACCATATTATAAATTCATAACAATGAACTGCCTTGCAATTACCCTACTAGGAATCCTATCAAAAACCGCAGTCTTGCATTTTCATACAATATTGGCCACAATGCTAATAATAGGAAAGGCAAATTAGGAAAAGACAGGAGTATCAAGGTAATCATCTGTCAAAGCTGTTAACTACCACAACAAGGCTTTATAATGTGAGGACTTGAAGACAAAAACTCATTGCCTTGAAAACCACAAAGGTTTTACATCCAAGTATATCCCGTCACATTGCAGCGAAGCAAAAGTCAGAAAGACCACGTTTTCAACAAATTTCCTATCCAAATCAAGGCCAAAAAAATAGCATTAAAATTTATATGCAAACTACCTGTTCCTCTGCGTTGGATGTATCAAAATCATGTCCTGGAAAAAGTCATGAGAGGTCCAGTCCTGGTCCAAGTTGGCCAGAGTGGTCAAAGCCAGAAGAGAGAGAAATGCATCCTCTGAGGCTGCCCACTGGCGGAGAATGTACACCCAGCCTGGGGAGTTGGGTTTAAAGAGTGACTTTGTCATACCTGGCATCCCCTTCTGTCATGCTTCACTTGTAACTATTACCTAAGATTGCATAAACAGGATATGTTAACATATAACCTCTCCTGAACACACACTCACACACACACACAAACACATCACCACACACATACAGAGAAGACATTTTGTTTTGTTTCTGCAGCAGAATTTTTCTTAGAACAATCCTTGCTCACGTTCTTTGTACATTAACTCTGAAAAATAGCATCCCACACATAGTGAAATAAATTTACAGTTTGACGAAAAAAATCTGACAAACGCCATTTTTAAAGTTTGGCCGAAACTAGAACTGCTGAATCTAGAAAGGTGAAACACATTCCACAGTCAGCTTCTTACACTGTTTCTCTCACTTTAGTTCAAGCATAGTCTGTGTTTTTAAATACACAGTCATGGCACAGTTTAAGTCTTGCCAAAGAGACTCCCAACTCCTACAACCTTATCTTCCAGTTATCCTGCCTTTTCTACGGAGATCTATCCTTTTTTAAAGAGTTTATGCATTCTAAAGCGTACATCCAAATATTGGACTTGAAAACTGAGATTTGATACCATAGCTTTGACTTTTTAACATTTACTGCACAAACAAGAAGTGTATCTCCATTTAGCTCTTCTCACAAACTTGTTTTTATGTTATATGATTTCACATCATTCTAAAATTACTGCAGCAGATGGGACATAATCCAAGAACTAATGCAATTAATTAACCACGTCAATTCCCTCTATTTATCTTTGTTACTCTCTCTCTCTCTCTCTCTCTCTGTGCTTTATTGGGAAGCAGGAACTCGGTTCAACCTTATTTTCAGTCTTGATTCTATAAGTGTGTCTTTCTTCATTTATAACACAACTGCACAGTTTTAAGCTGATTTGTGCTTTCACATATGTAAAGACATTTGATCGATAGTTTGTGTGCAAACTTTGAAAAGATAACTGCTACTTGTGGATTTATTCTCCTCCGATTCCAAGCTAAATTTGGTTAAAAGAGCAAAAATCCGATGGACAGAAGAGATGTTACAATACGTCAGAAGGGCCATTATTTGGTCAATAAGTTTAATGGACTAACACACGCAAAGGGAAACCTTGAGTATAGAGTATCCTATGAAAATGTAACACATAACGCTCAGTGTTTGAGAGGTGAGAGATCATGTAACATAATAGATAAAAATAGGCTGGCCAATGAAAGGATAATAAAACCTTTAATCAGATGAGATGTAAGTCTGTGAACTTCCATCTCATGTTTCCCAAGTACCACACAGATTAAGTGGAAAATAGCAGATGTGAGGAGTATGACAAAAAGGATATGATTTATGACATGAACGAAAATGATTTTTGTCTCCTCACCTGTCTGGACAATAATATCAAGGAGAGAGGGACACTGTGACAAATTGGCAAGGATGGAAGCGATGTAAATCTGTACCCAGGAGTCGGTGATTACTTGCTGAAGACGTTGAAGAACAGACAGGCCATGATTCTCCACAAACTGTAGGGCATACTCCTGGACCTGAACAAAGGCAGGAGAAAAATTGTCTCTATATAAATAAGCATTAGTTTTCAGATTTAGTATGAGTTTTACGGCACTTGCAACACAATAGGTCATATAAGTGCAGAAGATTAGAGGTGTTACAAGAGAGAGTAACAAACACAAAAAAGAAGGAGGAGAGATCAGGACAATAAAAGTTCGATAGGAAAGAAGGAGCAAACCACACCAGAGCACCCACCAACCACCCACATAAATAAGCTTTGATGATGAAGAGTATGGAAAGTGCTGTGACGGACAGAGACAATTCAGAGGTGTAATAATAATCCATGGAAAAAGAAATGTGGAACCTTAATTAATTTTTTAAAAATGTTGTATTGAGCCAAACTTTGCAATAACCAAAGTTAACATTTAAAGCACAACATTTTGTTATAACAGAGTCTCACTGCTTATGGAATCAAAGGGGGGACAACTTAGTTTTTCTTTGAGGAATAATTTAAGAAAGTGTTGGATAGAACATCCAAATCTTCATAGATTTGAGAGTGTGTCTTCTTTAATGCCTTGTGTGCCCTTTAATGACAACATACTTATCCAAAATTTTTACTCACAGCAGTGTAAGCTAGAACAGCTTCTAAACAAAATGTCAATTTTCTTTCCCTCTTCTTTTCATCTTCTCCAGGCAAGGTATACATGTGAGTGATCACATCCATGTCCATAGTCACTGGGTCTCTCTGATGAATAAATGCATAACATTGGTCAGCTGTTAAACATTACAAGCAAAAAAAGTTGAAAATTTTTTAAATTACAATTTCTCAATCTATGGTAACCATTCCATACGCCCAAGAAATATTTTGTTGAAATTCAAAGTTCTTAAAGTTGAAAAAAGTGAGAAAAGATAAAGTCCATTGTTTGCAGACTGTTAAATCACAGGTGTTCATATGAATAAAAAAAAGTATGCTCTCCTTAACAGCATAATTTATGAGCACTTTATGACCACCTGTATGGCCACATGGTGCGGTGTCCGGTCTACATACACATACCTCTTTAGACAAATGTCTATGTCTTTGAGACATTTACGATGTTCTTCTTTGATATGCCGAAATTATATGTGCACATTTGGGCCTACTTATGAATTTTAAAAGAATGAAACAGTTTTTTCCTCACTCCTTAAAATTTTTCTTTCTTGAAAACAATCTTTTGCAACCTGACAATAGAGGGTTAATCATTTGACAATAACTAGTTATTAAAATTCACAGAACATCTCTCTTAGGACTTCTCATGAAAGAGACTCATTTATATGAAATGAAACCATAATAATGCTAGTCAATATTCTACAAAATGATAAACTGTTCTTCACTTCAACAGATGAATATATATATATAATAGCCATAATGATAATAACACTAATAATAATAATAAGCAGCATTGTAGTCAACTACAACACATACCTGAAACATAATTTCTGGGTCTAAGGCAATGGTGCGGAAGTAAGAAATACTAGATGCAAAGTTTGGTACTGGTAGTTGAGACAGCTGATGCTTCAAGTCCAACAGGACATCGCGCTGTAAGGAAAATGTATGAAAAAGAAAAAAAATCAGCCCAGATGCATCTTTCAATTGACTCTTTCTGTACTACAACTGATGAGAAGGAAGATACCGTTGTCTAGTAGACAGCACCACTCAACTAGAGATGGGCAAGGAAAGAGAGAATGTATTACACATTATGCCAAGTGAAATCCTGCGCATAACTGGTGAAGGGATTCTATTGCTTCTTAGGACATCTCTTCATTCTCTTTTTCTTTAACTTTACTGAGCTTACCACTTTACAACACAACACCCTTCCTCAGAGGCAAATAATTTCTGTCATATTTTTCTTCAACGCTTAGTTCTGACTGCTTTTGCTAAAACTACTTATCTAACAGAAATAGAAGAGAAGAGGAGGAGGAGGAGGAGAAGGAGGAGGAGGACAAGAGGAGGAGGAGGAGGAGGAGGAGGAGGAGGAGAAGAAGAAGAAAAAGAAGAAGAAGGATTTTAAAAATTTGTGGTTTCTGCAATCACCAATGTAGAGAAGAAGGCAAAAAGATTTACACTATCGACCAATCAGCTTTCTTTGACAAAAAGACCCATTATCTTTCTTTGATAAAAGAAAAAAAAAATGGATCCCAATACATGGCAAACACAGCAAATACATATTGAATGGAAGCATGGAATATTGAAAACCTTGGACAGAGCTAGCTCAGTGAATACACCACAAAAACCTAATACCTTCAACAACAGCTTTATACAACTTTAAAACATAGAAGCAGTCTAACAAAACTCTCCAGGGTCTGTTCTTGGCTTTCACTTAGGCAGAGTCTGGCCCTTTCTATACTTGTGTAACTCTAAGTTTCACCTGTGAGTCATGAAGTCTTGGTGGAGGAAGAAAGAAAGCATCCTTAGCGGAAGGGTATCGAGCCAGGGCGACCGTTGTGCGAGGCTCGCAAGCTTGAGCAATACCTCTGTACTTGTAGTCTGCAACAATACAAGCAAGGATTGGAACCACAAGTACCTTCACTGATAATAAAAGTCTGTTTACTGGCACAATACTACAAAAAATATTTTGATATACAGTCTCACCTGCTCTATTGGCCACCAGTATAAGAAAATCACCTGTACAAATGGCCACTTCCCATTTCCTCCCTTGGGTATTTTTCAAAACATTAAAATAACACTGTTTAAGAAGTTCTGTCTAAGACAATTACTTTTCTCCTTGACAATGGGTGGCCGTTTTAGACATTTTTGACAATTATCCTATACCATCAGCTCTCATTTCAAAACATGTTTGGTGCAACAAAATGACAGCCGAAAAAAAAATTCAAGCACATCAATCACCTGAATAAAAAAAGAGTTGTCAGAGAGAAATAACGAAACCCATTGAAACGAGTGTCTCACAAATAAAAGCATCCAATCAGCTGCAGAGATAAAGTGTCCATTCTTTTCCCAGAGGGGAACTTTTTGAACATGCAGTACAACTGATGTTCACATATCAATGATCATGTTTCTGACTAAGATATAGTGCCTCTCACTCTTTCAAGCAATAGCATGCCATTTTCAAAGGGCCTCTTGACCATATATACTTTTTTTTCGGGTTGTAACTAATTTTGAATTTTGCCATTTTGCCTCAACTTAGTACAGACCAGCTTCCACTATAAATTCTTTAAGTTTAAGTGCCTTTAAGGTGTGCAGTACACATTTGGGACCTCTGAGTGTTTTCTCCTTATCTGAACCCCCCCCCCTTTAAGGTATTTGATACTATTTACTATGAGATCAAAGGTTTGAAAAAGCCTGAGAAAAAAAAAAATCGGGCACAACCCTGATACTTAATACAGACTAACATGCCACATTAAATGAATGTAAAGAACGTATACAACTTAGCAACATATTTACCTTCCCAGTGAAGTTTACTAGCAAGGGATGCCACGCCCATCTGTCTGATCCAGAAGTTGGTGGACTTTGTCAACTGCAGAAGCACCCATGGATTGTCGCTTTTGGATAGCTCCCATGGAAACAGCCACCCTAAGGAGAAAAAAAATTCTCTCTCAGAGCTGATTTGAGGAACCCTTTATTCATTAGCAAATGTTCAAAGTGAAGTTTTAATACACAAAAGAAGTATGAAATATCTTTTTGATTCATACCAATAAAGCAATCTATATTTTAAATAACACAACTGACAGAAGCGAAAACTTTTTCAGCAAATCATCATCACCAAAATGAAAAGATGCTAAATAATGTAAACCCATAAACGTGTACAGTGAAATACATGAGACACAATACAAGAAAACCAGCACCCAAGGAATTCTAAAGTAGTCTCTTTGAAGTGTTAGCTAAAAAAATAAAAATAAATAAAAACACCAAAGGTAAAAGACGGAGAAAAAAAAATTTAAAAAATTAGAACTTAGCAAAATCTGAAGAAAGGATTCTTACTAAAACTTTATTAATTGTAAAACCATGATACAAAATAGAAACAAGATTTTTACCCTCCTCTTGAAAAAACAAAACAGCCCCCCCCCCCCTGAACTAATAAGTTTAAGAGATCAGAGATAAAGAATACTGTCTTACCCAAAAAGTGTTTTTCCTGACCAGCCTCAGACTCATCTCCCCAAGGAACATCTCTTGCTATAAAGGTAAAAGAATTAAGCAAATTATGAGTTTTACGGTAAAGAAAAGTACATCAATATATAGTTTTTGTTACACTGCAGTTGAAACCTCCCCCCTCCCACCAAAGACATCTCACTGTAATAACAGCACCATCGTCCCAAAGACTCAACACGATAAGGTTAAAGCCTCTTAACTTTTGTCTTTCTGAGTTAAAAATGTGAGCGTAACTTTGCATGGTACGACCATAAGTCAGAGATCAAACAATTTTTTAAAAAATCTTGAACCAGCAATAAATGAGTCTCTTTATTAAGGCCCTATATTTAAACACCACCGTTTAGGTGCATGCAGAGGATCACTACAATAAACTATTCACAGTCATCTATCTAGCCTACTAATTTATCATTTTGAGACAGCGACATCACCCTGCTTTCACATTTCATTACAAGCTTGTCCATTTCACCCCAAGACGTGTCTAGAAGTCTCTATGTGTTCAAAAGAAACAAAAATTAGTCTCATTGATCCTGAAAGTGACCTGCAAGCTCTCTCAACGTCCTTCCTGTTCAACCCAGACAAAATGAGGTCATGCTGAAAAATAAGCCACTGTGGGATGGTCACTAATAAAAGCAATTAGGAAGAGACAAATGCAGTTCCTGAAACACGAAAATCAAAATAAAAGCCTAGAATATCTTGGTCTCAATGGAAAAAGGGGAAAAAAAAGAGGCAGATGCAGATGAAGAACAGAATTCTTAATTTTAAAATTGCAACTGTCGATACTTTATGTCCTCAGCGGCAAAATTTAGATCATTTACAATACGAGCTATTTGACCCTGCCTGTCAAGAGTACACCCCAGAAGACAGATGGTGATATTAGATGAAAAAGAATCTCTCCAGGTGGGAATCTCCATACATTCTTTGTAAGAAGCTGACCACTACACCACCAACACACCGGTTAACTTAATAAAAACAATGTTACCATTGTACTAACCTGATGTAAATGACACATATTGAAAAGTGAACCATTCCTCGAAGTCTGTAAATGCAGCAACAGGTTCAGTGGGCTGAAACATTTTGCCCAGTTGAGCTCTCCATTTTCTGTATCTACAGTTTTCAGGTTCTACTACTGCAGACTGGTGCAAAGAAAGATTTTGCATAAGCAATAGGAGGCTTCCTCTGTTGATGACAAAACAACAGGAACCAAGACCTGATTAACACCACTTTGCTATTAGGGCATCAAAGTAATAAATGTCAGAGAATCTAATTTACTTGCTGGTTATTTGAGAGGCATCATGGTCAAATCAGGTGCTCGTCATAATGAAATCAAAGAAACCAATATTTTTTTGCCAGTTGGGTAATTTCAATCAATTTTTTGGGTCGGGGGCTCTTTTCACTTTTCATGATACGTTCATTCTAAAATACATTTCTTTGTGGATTTTACTGTAAAATGCTGATCAAAGGCACAAAAAAATAAATTTACAATTTCCAAAGACACCCAAGCTTTGAAAATCATGAACCTTTGGCGGCTTTTTTTCCCTGTTAATTTTACCTCTGACACCAGGCGACCCCTACCTCCTGCAATTACAAATATATCTTGACTTCCATTCAAAATTGATGGGTACTTTTCAAAATCAAAATAAGGACAAATGAACAAACTTTAAGATTATAACAATGACTTCATATGCCCCCAAAATGACGAGCACCTGATTTCACCGTATTGTGACACATTTGGACCTGTCTCTTAAATTTCAAGTGTATTTCCAAGAAATCTAATTTGATCAAAAGGAACATGCAGTTTTCTATCTCCTCAAGCAATATATTACAATTATTCAGCTTCCTGTCAGACTTTTCTGTATATACCTGCAACGGTCTTGTACAGCCAAGAAAAATTTCCCTCTAGGAAAATACAGTATTATCTTATCTATATCTTATTTTACAAGTGAATTCCTACATTATTCTCATCACTCAACTATCAAGTCAAATCCTTTTGGAAAGAAATGTTCAAATTGAATGATCTTGTTTTGTGACCTGAGCAACACTTTCTACTGAAATGCACTGACAAAAGATGAGTCTCTGACCGTAAAAATTGTTATCAAATAATTAAGTTAGAAAACAAACCATTATATCTGAAGAAATAAATTAGGAGTATGAGTGATAAGACAATTTGTAAAATAAAAAACAACCATGTTACATAAAGCTCACCCACTTCCTAGGAGACCAAAAGAGAAGAAACCTGTAAAAAAAAAGAAGAGGTGGGTGGGGGGGGGAGAAAGAAGGTAGTCTTAAACAGTTCTTGTAATGTGCTTGTAATCAGCATTAAGTAATCCTGCCAGTGTCACATTATTTCCCTCACCCCAACACTAGCACTGAAAGTTGAAAGCACAAGATTTTCAGCATTTTTTTTTACCAGCATCATTATTTCAATAAACTCAATTTTGTATCATAATATAATGTCTCCATAATGTTGCTTTTGAATTGATATATATAAAAGCCACCTAAGGATTCCAAACAATGACTGCTGTCAAACCAGTCTAGAACAGAGTCAGAAGAGAGCTTGGAAAAGCTTCAACATCTGACAGATTTCCAACTTGGGCAAGATGACTTGTTTAGATGACGAATGGATGGATACAGTGCAGGAGAGTCAATAATGAGCAAATTAGGACACAGGCAACACATCTTATAATAACACTACCAATGTTCCATCCACAGGAAAGGATGCATTATTTCTAAGAATTTCTTTGCAAGATAGATTTGCCTGTAGTTCAGGATGACAAATTAAAGAAGCAAAACTTTTAGTGGTTAACCAGGATCATAAGCGGTGGGTTCTTAGGTAGAGACTACTGTACTATAATCATTGCTGTCTCTTCAGAAACCAAATCATGTCCGAAAGTCTTACGAAATTTTCACTACGTTTTCCAGATGATAACATTATATTCAGACTTGGTGGATTCAGGTAGGGTTCCCTAATAACTACTGTTTCAAGTGTTTTCTGTAATTCTATTCTCTTACTGTCATTTTGTATTTTCATAAAGAAATTTACAATAGAAATGTCTCCCTGTCCTTAATGCTCAAAGTGTCATTCACTATCCTGTGTGACTACTATGTTTCTACTGAGCGACAGTAGCACTTCCAGAAAAGGCGCAGTAGAGCAAATCAAATATATAAATGGCGTGCCCCTATGAGATCGACTGTAGTCACACAAGCTAAGAAATAAAAGTCCGAAAATGAAGCATCTATTTTTGTCCAAAATGACAATGAGAACTGAATTACAGAAAACAACAGTTATCACAGGTCATCATCATCATCACCAACTAAATAATTCTTTTTCTAGTTGTAATTTTCTTGTTTGTTTTTTTCTTGATATCAATTTGCTCCATGCCAATACATTTTTACGTAACCTACAAATATCGACACCAAAATCAGGACACCAGACAAACCACCCCCCCCCTCACCAACCCCCCCAAAGAAACATTTTAACAAAGCAAAAACAAATACAACAACAAAAACAAAAACAAAAACAACAACCCCCCAACAGTTATTACAAACAACAGATGATCTATTCCTACTTAAATATGTATTTAAATGTGAATTCACCAAGTCTGAATAAATAATTGTCATTTGGAAAATTGTTGTATTTTTCTGACTCTTAGGCTATACACCTACAGTGCCTACAGTACCTGCTTTCTGATCTCTGTCAGCTCTAACAAGCAGTTGAATGTAGTAAGGAGCGGGGGGTTGCCACATTATGTTATAATGCCATGAGTGAGGAATTCTGTAACTTTAAATTCAACTATCAGAATTAATAAACTAGGAACTAATAAACATGTTCTCGTCATCATCATTAAGCTAAGACCAAGGCACTGTTAATTCCAAGGAGTAAATCATATGTTAGCGGTAACAAGCATACATGACATGTCTAATCAACACTATCACATAAGGAAGTTGTTATTTCACCCCCGCGGTACCAACAATTTGGTCACTATTCTGCCCCTCCCCCGGCTTTCGTATTTTAAAATTTTTTAGATGGTTTTCCGTTTCCGGTTGCAGCCTATCCTTTCATTTTCAAGATGGCGGGCGTAGGCTTCTCGATGAAACTTCGCGATGCTTTAATATCACTCACAGTCTAGCCGTACTTATTAAGTACGGCTAGACTCTCAGACTAGCCGTACTTAAGTACGGCTAGACTTCTTGTCTAGCCGTACTTAAGTACGGGTAGACAGCCAGGCTAGCCGTACTTAAGGACGGCTAGACTGTCAGGCTAGCCGTACTTAATATTGATGGCTGAATTGTAAATGAAATTTTTAGTTTGCAATGCCTAAAGTATTTGTATTTCAGACAAAACCAAAAGGTGCCTTACTGACTTGCATGTATTTGAACCTGAATAATTACTTGATGATGATCTAGATCTAATGAGACCTGTGTACTTAACAGGCTTGAGTCGATTGGGCCAAACCTAGATCTAAGTACGGCTAGACTGGCAGTCTAGCCGTACTTAAGTACGGCTAGACTCTCAGACTAGCCGTACTTAACCGTAGCCACTTCGATACTAGATCTAGATCTATATAGTCTATCTATACGTTTGATGCGTGGGGGGCTAAAAGATGTCAAACCTAACAACTGCAAAACATCAAATTATGGTAAAATCAGGGGGGCGTGCCCCCCTGAAACCCCCCTACACTTGGGTCCAAAACCCGCGAATAACAATTGTGGGGTGGGAACTACCGAAAAAGCGCCGAATAATCACTAGATTCTAGATCTATAATTTTCAATTGACTAAAATGATAGACTCGTCTAGAGTAGAGTCGACATACCAAGGTACCATCTCTTTCCATAGACGCCAGGCTTATACTCTCCATTAGGCCAGGCTGACCAACTCCGTATGCTTGAAACTGTAGATCTAACTCTACGTCTGTTCAATCTGACAAGTCCAGAAACTCTTTCACGACTTGTTGGACTTGGTCTTGGAAGGAGCCAAAACAAACTGTTTTGAAGGCTATACCTCTTAAGAATTACCATTTCACAACGCAGTGAGCAGCTTTTTAGTAGGTCAAGGCTTTATGATATTTTCATGATAAATTCTGCGTTCAATCATAACAGATCAACTTGACTTCAGAGTTGAAAGTTAAACTTAAAAGCTTGTGTGCCTACTGGAAGTGTCTTGAAAACAGAGTTTCACTATCAGGCGGAAGTAACAGCACTGAAATGAAAGTAGGTCTAGCTCCCAGATTTGTTTAGAATTGCCAAATAGTGGGTATTTTTTGTCAACGGGCGAGAATGGTTACTATTATGATCAATCCCTGATTATTGACAAACTTTTAAAAGCTTTGTGTTCAAAGTTCATATATTCTGAGAAAAAGTCTAGATTTGCTTCAGTTCCTGTGCACACCAGTTAAATATACATTTTGACAATGACGCTCATACTCATTACGAGATGTAGTACTGAAGTCATGCGTGATCTGGGAACTGTCTGAATTTCCAAACGGACCGACCAACTACCGGCATGGACCATAATAACACGTCATTGCTCTCAGAGGAAGGTCCAGCAGGGAGTGACTGAACAATACCAGATGGGATCAACATGAGTTCTTCTTTCATAATAATTGGTAAATCAATCTGACTCTTGTCGTGCTGAATGAGATGCTTTTTCTTCCGTACTCTGTGTTTTTCTTCCTTCCTGGCTTTCTAGATCTAGGACGATCTCCCATCTACATTATATAGACTATCGTTTTCAGACTTTACGTAGGCCCCAGGCCTAGATTCTACTTTTGTGTCTTGTGTCACACAGTAATTATAAAAGAATATTGTAATACACAGTAGCCTATACAGTTACTGCTTTTGTCAAGTTCAACCCAAGGAGCTTAAAACAAACGAAGTGTATACAGACCCGGTAACCGGGAACAAAGTCACGAAGTATACAGACCCGGTAGGGGAACTCTTTTTTGTGATTTCGGGAAGTTTCAGACCTCAGACCCGGTCACAGAATTCTACACTTCTAAGTGTAGAATTCTGTGGACCCGGTAGAAATCTTGTGTGTGTGTGTGTGTGTGTGTGTGTGTGTGTGTGTGTGTGAGAGAGAGAGAGAGAGAGAGAGAGAGAGAGGGGGGGGGGTGCTAGCAAAATGTAAATGACATGCCCCAGTTGGCAGGAGGGAACGAGAGAAAGATACTAGAGTAGGCCCGCATCACCGCGCTACTGTTTTGGTGCGCAACCCCCGGTCTCCTGCTTTGTTTTGGATAAGAACAGCGAAAACGAGGTCATTTTCTGTGAGCATGCGCAGAATGCAGCTTATTTCACTTTCGTTTTGGAGGTTCCTGTCAACACACGTGATTCTACGGTGTCGGAAAGTTTTGCCCCTTCATATTAACAAAGATAGTACAAGACAAGATGGGCCACTCAGCCTAAAAAGTGTCCGCAGGAAGTATGCTCTTTGCTTCAGATGGCGCTGCAGTCTGTTTTGAAGCTCTCTTTCGTTTTTCCAGAAGAAGAATAGGAATAGCACCTCCTTGCGTGCGCAGATCGACTGCTGTTCATCAGTAGTTTGAGTACGTTCAGTGCGGAGTTTTAGTTTTTTTTTATTTTATTGACCTCTCGCCTTTCATTGTAAAGTCAAATTAAACAAAGAAAACCATCACCCTTTCCTCCGGAAGAGTTTTTTTTTTGTCAGCGTAACCATTTTACAAAAGCCTTCTTCCGAAATTTATCCCAAAACTTGCTAGTTTCACTTTGATTTTGTAAAACTCAAGTAGGGTAACTCTGTTCGCAAAGAGTGCGCTTTTGTGAAGAGGGCGCCACCAAATTTTGAGGACACTTTTTTAATTGGCTCAAAGAGAGAAGTGGCCCATCTTGTTATTTACTATCATTGATATTAATGGTTTTCGTAACCGGTATCGATCAATTTACTAAGCGCTTGAGTAGTCGATTATTTAGCACATCTAGCTAATCTAGCTCTACTGTATCGTAGAATGTATACTAGAATCGATAAATACTATCGCAGGCTGCTTCTTAACAATGATAGTACATAATGTATTATCATTGTTCTTAATGCCCAGGAACGTGTTAGATAGGGTTGCGCACTGAAGCGGACCAAATTTGGGCAGTCCGTTTCGTGCGCAATATCGGCTTTTTTGCTATTTGGCATTGATAGTGTGGCTTCTAGGCCCTTTGTTTGTTTTACTTATTAAGTTATTTCTCTATGACCTGCATTGTGCACTGAAACAGACTGTTTTCCTTCCATTTGGATGCATTATATTGCCATTGGAAGATGGTAAGTTAATGTATTCATGTCAAAATTAATTAATATGGAAATATAATCTCCAAAATGTTCAATTTCTTCTTTTCATGTCTTTTTCTTCTTCTTTTTTGCCCTTTTCCTTAAAGAATACTAGTCTAGGTATAGTCTAATTCTTGTTTTCTTCTTTCACTTCCTTGTGTCCACAGCACCTTTCTTTTTCAATTTCTTCTTTTCACGTCTTTTTCTTCTTCTTTTTTGTCCTTTTCCTTCTAAAATACTAGTCTAGGTATAGTCTTATTCTTGTTTTCTTCTTTCCCCTTCTTGTGTCCACAGCACCTTTCTTTTTATCCATTATCAAAACACATACACACGGTGTAAGGAAATCTCCTGTCAGGGGGCGCACAGCTCCCAAAAAGAATACGCCTAATTGACCTTGGCCTTCCATTATGGTCAGTACAGGAACTTCTTGCAAGGAAAAGAAGACAAAGCAAGGATAGAGAAAGATGAAAAGTGTCAGAAAAGAGCTAGATCTAGATCTAGAGCTGTAAACATGGTACTATTGCGCACCAAACAAGACGATATGTTGCACCAAACCAGAAACCTTGCGCACCAAACCAGACACACGTTACCAAACAAACACCACCACAACATATAGAAATTTTAAACTGCTGTTACAGAAATGTGCTACACCGTATAGAGAGGAAGTTTTTCTAACTTCTGGTGAAAAAATCATGAAGATCGACCTGTAACTTCCAGAGATATCCACAAAAGATCGCTTACTGTATATCGCACCACAGGATGTACTCTAGATAGAGTGGGAAATAGGTGGGGACAAAGAAATACAGAGACAAACAAAGAAAAAGAGAAGGCGAGCGGTACACAGAGGAGAGAAAGAGAGGGTGGGGAGAGGGGGGGACTGCTCGATTGAAATTATGACATTGTAACTTGTTCTTTTCTTCAAATTGTGATTCCTCCAACTCCAAAACGGAGGAAAAACCATCGTTAATCGAAAAGACATCCGCAATCTTCATTTAGATCTAGGTTAGCCGCGAAACTAGAGGAAAGATTTATGTCTGTCTGCTTAGATCTAGATCTAGACCATAGATTTAGAAGAACCTAGGTCTACCCTGAGCCAAGAAGGCGCTGAAACTCTCCGAAATCACAAAAGAGTTCCCCTACCGGGTCTGTATACTTTGTGACTTTGTTCCCGGTTACCGGGTCCGTATACACTCCCTAAAACTAATGGAGCCTCCTCTCTCTCTTTGGCAGTCTTTGCAGTGCCACGAGCGGCTTGCCGAGCGGTGGGGAGCGAATATATATATGGCCGCCGACTGTGGTCTAAATCACGAACTGCGGTGTTTCTTTTTATAGAATCTTATCGGGCTGGGCCACGTTGTGGGGGAGGGCGGGGTGGGGAAATGCACGCAAGGAAGATGGGATGAAAGAAGAGGGGCGGGCCTTGGGAAGGGACGAAGGAGGATCGGAAAAATTAAATAAAAGAGAGAGAGAGAGATTGAGATCAACTGATGGGATGACGGATAGAATGACAGGGAGAAAAAAAATTAAATTCTGTGTTTTCTAGGCAACTGAGAAAGCCTAAGGACTGTTCAATTATTTAAGAGCTTTATGTTATATAGCTAGATTCTAGTTTAAAAATTAAGAAGATCGGCAAAATAATAAGAAAACTTATCCAAGTATCATAAAATTATCAAACATACCAAATTATAAAGATAATTTTTCATGATGCTAAAAGATTTAATTATAATAAGAAATGGTGAAAAATGTATTTTATAAAACTGAATTTAAGATAGGGACCTTGTTGGCTCTACCTACCGAAACATGCCTTTGCTGTAAGTTGTGTAAGCTCAGACGATAGGCTCTTATTGCGAGTTCAATGTTCGGCAAAATCGAAGGTGTCGATGGGGAGCTCACACCTGGGCGTGATTCTATTGTCGTAAAATCCCTGCGTCAGGAGCAAATGTGTACCTCTCATCGAGATTAAGAGTAGTAGAGATGTGATCCCATGCTTGAGCATGGATGACCTTTGAAGGTTTTTTTTTGTTCAGTTAAGTACGATAGGGAAAGCAGCATTTTTAGTCCCTTCACACTTCAGAGGGGGATAATTCATCTTTTAGGGATGACTAGTGCAGTAAAATTTATTGTTGCTTTGTTTTGTTTATTTTTTAACAGCAAAATCTTAATTGTGGGGTCTTAGATGAAGACTGCAACAATTATAGATTTAGATCTTAACCGAGTATAGTTCTATCAAACAAGACTAAAACTCTTATCAACCCACCCTACCACCTCCCCTCATCTGATATGGTTTGGTGTTTCTTTAACATAGAAGGTATTCATCATTATTGTTGTTGGGTATTGATTTCATATTTTAATAGAGCCTCTTGATATCTACATTTAGACAACTGTAGTCTTATAGTAATTAGGAGATGAATGGGCCTAAAAACATAAAACAAGTCTGACTGACTGATTGAACTCAGTACGCTAAGGTGTGTTATATGATTAGTAAATATATCTTGAAAACAAGGTACATGTAGAAACCTAGACTCTAGATGGGGGTTCTCGTGGCTTAGAGGTTAAGGTGTTGGCCTCTCATTCAAAGGTCCCGGGTTCGAATCTGGGTAGCGACCGAAAACTTTTCTTCTCTAAAATTGTCTCCTTTCACCTCCTTTCCTGCTCTCTAGCAATGTTCTGTTGTCTGCTTTCATTTCCACTTTCTGCCCCCACCCCCTCACCTCCTTTGCCCCCTCCTCTGGGCTCCTGACTCTTTCTGCAGCCTTTCTACTGCTACTCCTTGGCTCCTCCTTACTGCTGTCTTTCTGCCACATCCCCTGATCTTCTGGTAGGAAAGATCTACACCTAGCCTTCTCAGACAAGGGCGAAAAATCTCGGAGGGCCCGTGTGCAATTTGCGCACGTTAAAGATCCCTTGGTGGTCTAAAATCGATAAGAGTAGGCTTCGGCCGCCACCCGGGCAAAATTCAAAATTTCCTACCAACTGAAAATATTAGGTGTGTCCCGCACGCTCATATGACCTATGCAGTTGTGAGCGCCGTAAAACACTTTACAAAAACAAACAAAAAAAGACTCTAGATTTTGTCCCGTCAAAATAAAGGTCTGCTGCGCGTAGCATCTAATTTACACACACAATGGAAAGCAATATATACTTTAATTCTCTATATACATACACACACACACACACACACACACACACACACACACACACACACACACACACACAAGAATAAGAATATTTAAAAAAAATCAAGTATCTTGGTCTTTCTTCTGGGATGTTGTTACAGTGTATCCCTTTCACGGCGTACAAACAGCGCTCTTTCAGTTGGCTCGGCGATGGAGTGGCCGGGTCACGGCGGGCCGGTCACCCAGAGGTCACTAACCCGCCCTCCCGCTACCTGCGTTGGTAGCCGGTGAAATAATTTTTCAACATATGCTTTATCGTCTTACACAAACAAAAAATATCATACGTGAACACAAGTTTGTTCTTTAGAGAAAGCAACTAAATCTCTTTATTGGTACGAAATAGCAATACCATGGCTGCTCACGTTTTGGAGTTAGATGCTCTTAAAATGTATGTCTATTTATAGTTAGTCTAAACAACAAACACATATTGAGTGGCTAATAACTTATAAGCCTAAAGATAAATATTTACAAAACTGCCACGTAAGACAGGAAAATGTGTTTAGAAATTATTGACTCACTCAAACTTTTGTTTCCAGCACGAACATGGAACTTGTCATGAGCATAATAGCCAAAACGCTTCCCTTCATTCATGACTTTTTGTATCCAATGGAATGTGTATCCTCCTGAATAATGATATACTGACGCATCTTCAATATACAGCGCCGATTTCTTTTCACAAAATGAACATGTACAGAATAAAAGTATAAATTTATGCATTTTTTTTTTCTAAACATATCCAGCAGCACGCAATGAGGGAGCTATTTGCAGGAGATGCAACACAAAAATAAAACTCGTTATGTCTATCTGGTTTGGGATCCTTCGTGCTCTAGCTTCCAGTTTTGAGATCGCTTGGTGGCTGCTTTCTGTGTCCTATTCTCCTAAAAGCACGAGAGCAAATATGTGTTGTTGTATGTGTGGAATACAGTGTTGCTACAGGATAACTTTGCGGGGAAATAGCATCTGAATGTGGACATGTAATTGTCGATTGCTATGAAGATTTCTGGAAGTGAAAATTGTTTAACTGGTTTGAGATGTGATATTGCAGTGTAAACATGGCTAAATCTTTCATTGAGAAGATTGAATATTGCTTCCAGTCCACTTGCTTCCTCAATTTTTGCAGTTTCGCGGGAGTATTTTCTTGTTTCTGTACAAATTGTGTTTGTTAGTTCCTTGCATACATGGGGATGGAGGGAGGTATGCTTGGGGTGTTTTGCGATGTTTGCTTGAAATGAATCTTTGTATGCAGCCACCCAAGCGGTGCCGACGAAACGGAGAAGGAATTCACATTTATGCTGTCATCAAACGCACACCACATGTTCCTACTAGCGTCAACAACTTTTTTGCGGCATGAATTGACGTGACGTAACACCCTATCTCCTTTTGATTGTTGAAATCGCTGTAAAACACTTGACTCAAATGTTAGCGGAATACAACTGTTCATTTTCGTCCCTCACATCAATCCCATAAACCAAGAGAATGTCTCCTGCCTTTGTCTTATGTAATCTGGGCTTTCTGTACTTTTTTTGTTTGATAGTTAAATTTAAACGACAACACACTCGACAAAGTTCATTGAGAGACTCTCTATGCCTCTCATATGTGTGACCCATTGCAGTTTAACAATTTTTTCTTAGGAACACAATTCACTAACTGATTGTCAGTCACTGCAAAGTGCTGGAGAAACAAAATTCACATCATTAGAAAATATGATTTGATGGCTATCACACCACGCGAACAGAAATAAACACCATTGTTTCATTTTGGAATGATTTGTAATTAAATTTGAAGAGATCACATTATTAACGGCGCTTCTGATCACTTAACACTCACAATTTAAAACTGTTATTATTCCCAAACGAATCAATGAAAACTGTTGAAACTTTCACAAGATACCAAGAAGAAGTAGACGAAGCGAAATTGGTGAAGAAGTAGATTCTAGGGGTAGAGTGAACATCATTTTACGGCTCATGAAATTAGGGGAAGAAACACGTTCTGATAAGGACAAGATAGGACAGCGCTGTGCACGAGTTGACCCTGGTCAATCCCCGACTTGATGCGGGAAATTGCAGGTCACCTGCTGGTGATTTATGGCTTGGCAGGTAGCGCCAGAGCCAGCCTCTTATAAATGTTAATGATCTAAATTGTGTCACTGGGGGCATAAAAACACTTTCATTCAGATTTTTTTAAAAGGAAAACAACACCTGTGAAAAATTCTGTCCACTGCAGCATCATATCGGTTCTTACACTGAAACACAGCACAGGTGGAAGGCATTTTTACTAATTGACTTGCCTAATCTCGGAATAAAACCTTCTTTCTTTATCTAGATTTCATTGCGTGAGCGCAGCGCAGGTAGACCACAGTTCCGCTGCGAGAGAGGGCTCCTATCAGGCGTGCGGCGCCGCCCACAGAGCATCCTCCATTACTGTAAACTCCTTGGTTCAACCCAAGTGGTACTGGTTAGTAGACCAGTAATTGTAAACATTAGAGACACAGATCAAGATGGATTTTGATTTACTGCGCTTGGTTCACCTGATCTATGCATTAAATTTTAGCAGACTATAGATCTAGAATCTAGATTCAGATTCTACATCTAGATCTAGATCTGGATATCTAGATCTGTATCTAGTCTAGATTCTTCTAGTGTACAGCCACAAAAAAATAATTAATTAATTAGGCTTCCCAAAAAACATGGGAATATATATTCATGTGTAGGTCTATGCTTACATTACTATGCTTATAGATCAAGACTTCTAGATATAGATATAATAGATCTAGATTTAGATCTAGTTATTGTTTTGCTTTTGGCCACCTATATTCTCATGAACATTCAAATTGTAAATGAGCCGATTTATCAATGTCATGCTCATGCTGTGCCAGAACAACATAGGAGGAACTTCTGCCTTTTCTTTCCTCATCCCTACTATCCTCATTTTCCTCTATACTTCTTTGGTATGTTTGTCACTCTCTTGTGAACTGCTATTTCAGGCATGCCTTGATAGTCGAAGCAGACTTTGTGCTGTTGAGGCTAGAGAAGTGAGCAGAGTAAGTCTGATTCCCAGTTTGGGCTTCTCTGTTGAGATCCCCAACCCTTGGCGCTCATATGACCTTATGCAGTTGCTAGTGCTGTATGACCTTACTAAAACCAAACAAAAATGATGGCGTTAATACAGAATTGTAAATCATGACAGTGCACCATCCTTAAAACATGACAGGCAAGAAAAATTGTAGCACAAACTAAACTGAAGCCATCAGAGATGTAAAGATAGGATAGACTTTGGATGAGAAGTATAAAACACAAGCACTGTGACTCACATTTCACTACATGTGCTGTTGCTGCTGAGTTGAGAAACCATGTCTACTGGCATAAAGAGAATTAAAATCCTTACTCTACAAGAACAAATACATATTATGAAACCGGACAATGGAAGAAATCTAGTGAGAGCCATTTTGTAGATTGATTTATAGTCAGGATAAATGCACATTCCCGGCATGCTGAAAGATAAAGCAGTATTGATTGCGAGTATAAATCATCAGCACCTCTTACCAAATGACATAAATGCGAAGGGCCACAGGCAATAAACCAATCTACAATCTCCTCTTCTAATCGTTTCTGGATGCAACAAGAAAAAGAATAAACTAAACGGGACCTATCCTTAAGGAGAACAGACTAAAATTAGCAAGGCACCTTGAATCAAGATTGTTTTCAACTCTTATGGTTGAATGTTGTCTTTCACCCAATGCAACAGCTTAGCATAATAGGTAAAATCTGTGGAAAATCAGGAAATAGAGACGGTAATGTTGTTTCATCCTGGAGAGAATGATTAGGTTCACTTATTGAAGGCTACAATTACAGGGAAAGAAGTCATCAAAAGATTGGATTGTCATGCATCAGTATACCAGAAGAAGTATCAGAAAGGCTTGACAAGCTAAGCAGTGCCATTATCGGAGTGCCATTTTCCAGACTTCCTGATATGGATCAAGAGGTTGACACATGTAACAACAATCCAGTAGACTGGGACCGTCTGGCAACATCATATTTGCTCACAAATGTAAAAAACTCAAGACAATGCATAGGCCAAGGGAGATGAAGATATAATAACTGATTTCACAGAGAATATGGTGTCAACACAAGAAATGTTTTCTGCCTTAGCACACTTCACACTGAATGATATTAGTGGACTCCAGAGTTGAAATAAAAACAAGGGTTTCATTGCATCCTTTTTTTAATGCAAAGAATTATATGTGCTTGTGTCGCTACCCCACTACCTTACAAATTGATTACTTAAATAAAGTATTAATTTGTTGATTTATTGTTTTGTCATGCTCATCATCAAGGATTTTTACGTCTCATTTTTTCAGGCACAAGTATTCTTGCACTACTACTCGCTGGATATTTTGCACAGAAATACTTACCCCCACCACCACCAAAAGTTGTTGGCATTGATTTAGGTATGTTAAATCAAGGATTAACTCCAGTGTTTTCATTATGAGGTATATAAGAACCTGTTTAAGAGAAGAGAACAGAAATAAGGTAAAGTCTTATTCATAGGATACTGCAAAAGAGAGTAATTAACATTATACACTTTTGGTACTTTTTTAAAATAGTATTTCTTCCATTCTGCCTCTGAGAGTTAAAAACTAGTTGTTAGTCTTTGACACAGAATTACATTTTTACCAAGCCAGACAGAGGAAAAAAGCTGGTCTGGTGTAGGTTCATAAATTGGTATTCTGTTGACATACTGAGTACTGTATCAAAATTGTCCCAGAGTTTTCGTTGCTTTCTCAGAACTTGTGCATTTTGTTGTGAAATGTGAAATCATTTTACTCTGACATGTTGTTTTTCAGGCACAACATACTCATGTATTGGAATGTACCATGCTGTGAGTGGTAATGTGACCATTCTGGAGACACAAGATGGGCATAAGTGTATACCCAGTGTAGTTGCGTTCACGTGAGTAATGTCAGAGATCATGGATAGATCTAGTATAAACAGATTCAAAACATTGCTGTCACAACGTTGTGGAATCAGGCGTTTCATCAATTTTGGGGCATGTGGAGTTAGATCTACTAGTATCAGCTTGTTCATTTGTCTTGCTTTGGATGAAAAAAAATACCCGTCTATTTTGGATAAGTCGCGATATTTACGATTGAAAAGGATGGGGGGCGTCTGGTTTCAGAGGTAAAATTAGGGAGAAAATGGCCACCGAAGTTTGTTGACTTCCATAGCTTGAGAGTCCTTGGAAGCTGAAAATTCATATTTTCTTGTGTCTTTAATCAATGTTTTTCCGTAATAATCCAAAGAGAACTGTGTTTCTAAATTGACATAAAATATGTTAGGCCAAAAACCAAAAATTTGACAGAAATTGCCGTACTGGTGGGAAAATGCCTGTTTCTTTTATTACATTATTTGACGAGTGCCTGATTTCACCATGATTCCTCACATTAATATAGTGAATTACTTTCAAATAACATGTCAGGGTAAATGTTAATGGCTAAAAAAAGAGCCACATATGACACATGATTTATGGTTAGTTACTGGAAATGTGAAAAAAAATGTGTCTACTTGTCGGATAAAAGTGATATAAAAATGCTCTATGCGAACCAAAAATTGTAATCCTGTCCCAGATTATGATGTAGTTGGTAAAAATGTTGTGACATATATAGAGAGAGATGGAAGTAAAAGAATATAAAATCTTATCAAGCATTGATGAGATGATAAAATATGTGAGGCGTACTGACAAAATGAGATACTTTTGCCCTCCACGAATGGAGATATCGGCTGAAAATTGACACTGGGGTCACATTTATAGAGTTTCTATTAATGTCACTTTCTTCAAGTCTACCATGCCTTTTATTATTTCACACTTACAAATTGTGCAAACTCCACTTATAAAGTTTATGTAGCAACTCATTTTTTCAGCACACCTCATATGTATTCCGGCTCTTTTAAACTGGGTCAAAGATGCCACTTGCCTTATGATTTAATATGGCATGGTATTACGAATGGTGGGCCCAAAATGAAAAAAACCCAACTTTTTCTCCACAACATTTAAACTTTTCCCCTGCACGACTAGCTTACTATCTACAGCTGAAGGAAAGTAATTTTTGATCTCATCAATAGCTTGCTCTTGAGTGAGCTTTGCTTTTCCTTTTTAAGAAGCCGTAATGTTCGCTTCAGTTGAGAACTATTGATCAGAGAGAGTGCAGCAGTAAACTGTAGGCCTAGTAGCAATGAAGCGTAAACAAAAACATAGTTTTGGTTTTCAACTTCTCCCTCAACTTTGAGTTTCAAAGTGGAATCAGACACAAATAATTATAACACAAACACAAGAACTGGAAATCACGAATAGCTCGTACAATTTGCCATTCCCCATCTGGTATCTTTGCAATTTTCCGTAATCGGTTAACCCGAAGTATGGATGTGTTGAACAAATTTGTCATTCCCTGGCGTGTTTGAGTTATCCATGTCCAAATGTAATTCAAAAGACTCCTTTGAACCTCAACACAAAGTTAACTTTTTATCATAGACCAGCTATTCATACTTTGTGGATAAAGGAAATGTTTTTTCTACCAGTCACCTCTTTTTCCATAATATAATTTTGATTTTTATTTAGTGTCTGTGAATGTAATTTTTGGGGGGCTTTCAAGCCCACATTTCCTTGTAGTCATTTTTCCTTCTTCCTGTCTAACAAAGCCATGTCTTATATACAGTCGAACCTGCTCTAACGGCCCTCTACGTAAGTCAATCACCTGTTCAAACGTCCACTTCCCGTTTCCCCCTCTTGCATTTTTTATTCATTATAATGACATTGTGCAAGATGTCCACCTGTCTAAGACAACCTCTTTTCTCCTTGAAAATGTGTAGCTGTCTTAGACAATTTCGAATGTACTCATAAAAATTATATGTAATTCAAAATCCTGAATATTGATGTCTTTTGTTTTTTCTTCTTCAGTGAAGACGGAGTGTTAGTTGGTTATAAAGCAGTGGCTCAGGCTGAGCATAACCCCTTCAACACCCTTTATGATGCTAAAAGGTTCATTGGCAAAAAGTTTACTGATGAAGAGCTAAAAGAAGCCCAAAAGCAATATGCCTTTAAGGTAAATGTCCTGTTAAGTTTTTCGAACTATAAATTGGACTGTTTGAATTTTTATTTGAACTGTTATTGGGGTGGGGAGGGGGGGTATACTCTTGGACCTCATATTTCTATAAATCTCTGGAATAATAGACAAGTCATTTCTTTACATAGCATGGACTTTTGTCCAACAGCTTCTTAGGTTCTCTTAATCTGCATTTTGTTATTGTGGTGAGGGTGGAGTTAACCTGAAAATCAGCAGGTGTTCAAGGAGGTAAGGGAAACCATTTTAGTTGCACAATCCATCATGCATGGCGCTGACTTCAGGCTTGGCCATTACAGTTGCAGATGGTGGGGGGTAAGCAGGTGCTTTGGTCTGGTTTTCTCCTTCTTTCCTCTCCAACATCTATCCCCCTTATATCTCTTCCTTTTCTGTTTGTTACTCTGTTGTAACCCTTCAAAGTAATAGTGTTGATAGGGGCGTTAAACATATACCATTAATACCATTAACATTTCTAATCTTTGACATTTATATATGACCTATTTGTATTGCAAATGCCATAAACAGCTTACTAAAACTAAAAGAAAAAAACAACTGCATACTTTGTTGTCTTGAGAATGATGGAGATTGGTGGATGCTTGATGTTATCAGCTCCTCCTTTTCAGTGTTATAATTTTTTTCCCTCCAAATTCTGTGTTTAATGTGGCGATTATCATGGAGACCATATGTTGCTCACTTTCAGAAAAAAAGCAAATTTTTCCACAGTTGCAGGCTGATCCTTTGGGAATGGTGACCTTTTTGATTGAGGTGAATGGCACGCAGAATGCAGTTGCACCAGAAGAAGTGGGGTATTACATTATCAGCGAACTTGCCAGAGCTGCTGAGAGAAATTTGTCCGCGCGTGTGAAAAGAGTGGTGATGTCTGTGCCTGCAGAATTTGATGACATGCAGAGAAATTACACCATAAAATCTGGCTCTCTAGCAGGTACTGTGACACACAATTATGATGGCAAGTCTGGTTTTTGACACTTATGGCATACAGTTCCCATAAGAACAGAAAAAAGCAAAATCAAAGAAAATGGCATAATCACAAGTCATAATCATGTTTTATGGTTGTAGTACATTCAGTTAAAGCAGCTCTAATGGCCGCTTGTATAAGACAGTCATCTGTATAAATGGCCATTTCCCGTTTCCCCCCTTTGCTCTTTTTTTTTTTTAACATTGTAATGACATTGTCCAAGATGTCCACCGAAGACAACCACTGTTCTCCTCAACAATTGGTGGCTGTCTTAAAAAATTCCTACTATATTTGGTAGAATTGGGTCAGACTCACTACATCAGCTTCCATGAGTAGCGAACGGTTTGCTGGTACTACTCACAAACGAATGGACAGATAACGAGCCGTCCGCTTGTAGAGATTCATTTTCTACTCGCAACACATTGGAAGTAAGGACAACAGTTAGTTCAGTGAGTGAGCGGTCTGGCGGACGTAGAGTCCATACATTCGAGCGGGTTGACGGATGGATGGAGTGACTCCTTGCATTGCATACTACTACTACTACTACTATTACACTCCCTGCCTCCTCACCCCATCCCAAAATAAAATTAAAAAACCTCCCTCGTGCCCCACATTATAGCTAGGCGTTCATGGAAATTTCTCATGTACGTCAAAAGAATTAATTTGAGAGGGTAATAGTGACTTACATTGGAAAGTTTATTTTGTACTTGTGTGAGTGTTTTTGGGGCTTTATTATTTATTATTTGGAAGTTTATGCTTTAAAAATGATAGTCCATGCAAAAAAAATAAATGTAACAGCCATGCTCAATTTACCTTTCCTCTCTCTTTAAAAGCATGTATGTTTTTCTCTGTGGTTTTAGGAAAAGTTACAGATTGTCATGGAGGTTGCCTCAGCCTCAATGATTGTTGTGTTTATTTCACACAATCCACCTTGTTTCTGTACACATTATTACATTTGTGAGGTGTTCTGACAAAATGGGTGCAGGTGATTGGAGGGTACCACTGGTAGGTCCTACTTCTTTACTTTCCCCCAGTTTTTTTCTGTCTCTCTGTCTTTTTCCAAGTTCTTACTGGCCATTATTGTGTCAATGTGCTTCTCTTTACTCAAACAAAGACAAATAGAGTCACTTCTTACAATCCGGGAATGGAGATATCATCTGAAAATCGACAAAAGGGTCAAATTTGTAGATTTTCAACTGATGCCATTTTCCTCAAGTTTGCCATGTCTTTTATTATATCATACTTATGAAGTAAACAAACTAATCCAACAATGTTGATGTATCTATGTCCATACTGCTACAATCGAAGAAGTAACTCATTTTGTCAACATGTCACACATTTGTATCTCCCTCTCTTTCCAGACCTGGATGTGTTACGTCTCATCAATGAACCCACCGCGGCTGCTATGGCTTACGGCTTGCATAAAAAGACCAGTCCCCACAACATCCTTGTGGTTGATCTGGGCGGAGGGACTTTAGACGTGTCTTTACTGAATGTGCAAGGAGGAATGTTCCTCACTCAAGCCATGGCAGGTAATGCTTGTGGAGGAATCGACAGCCTTTGAAAAGGAAAAAGAACATACCAACTGCTCAGTGTAAGACTCTGTCTTACGCCATTTTTCAAAAACGGCGTATGTCAGAGTCTTGCACTAAGTAGTCGATACAAATGGTTTTTTTTACAGTTTCTGAAATTTAGTTTATGGTGATGTATGTATGCATATGAGCTTTACTTTACTTTACTTTTATCCGCCGCTTATACCCTTTTGGGTGTCGCGGGAAGAAAGAGATGTCTCTCTGCCACCAGCCGGAGAACTTGGGTCGGGGGGGATGCCTCGAGTTGTTAATGTTTCCCTGCGTATTAGCAAAGTGTAACAATGTATAAAATGTATTAACATGTCTGAACGGTGGCAGCGTCTGGTAGTTGAGGTCCGTAGCCCATGGCTGGGCTGCACCGCCGCCCGAAGCAAAGTTATTATGTGTATTATGGTACAGATTGAATATAATAAAACAGTATTAGCTAACGAAACAAGCCTTAAGTTTAACCTGAAAGTCAAAGATCAATAAATTCCATGTCTGGTTGACGCTTTGTTGATCAGTTTGACTCAAAACAAGCATTTTTAAAAACACACGTGTTTGATCGCATTTCCACAAACGCTCTGTTGTGGGTGTTTGGCAGGTGCTCTGGTGTGATTTGCTCCATCATTTCTATCAAACATCAGTGATCCTTATCTCTCCTTCTTCTTTTTTGCGTTTGTTGTTCTCTTGTACCAGCTCAAACCATTGGCATTTATATGACCTAATTATGTTGCGTAAAAGGCTTACTAAAACTATAAAGCAAAATCCCACTGTCTTAGTTTTCTTTCTGTCTTTTTTACTTGTTCCTTGCTGTAGATGGCCATTACTGTGCCACTGTCCTTCTCTTATTCTTGAAACAAATGTAATCCATCTCTTCAGTTTTCAGCATCTGTTTTCACCCCATAAATTGATTTTTTTCATGAGTTGTTTGGTAGAGACACTCGCTTGATAAGTAAATTTTACCTAAGCCATCAGGAAACTTTCTTTTGCTTCTTTTAAGACATTTTCCTTCGAAGACTTTATCACCTTATGAACCATGCATGGGGATTCCCCGGGCTCGCAATTCAGCCCTAGCTGCCCGCACATAGAGATTCCCCCATTGAAATAGATAACTCCGAGACAACTGACTGTTATATTACTATTACCATAGAGGCTTCCCTTCCAAAAATAATGGGAGTGGGATGGGGGTGGGGGTGGGTGGGTGGGAAAAGTGACTTAAAATAATCTATCACTGAACTTGGGGGTAGGGAAACTACTCCCGGCGAATTTACTTGGCACGAAGAGTTAATTGTTAAGTTTATTGCCTGTATCATGATAGCCAGGGCATTGATACTATTCTTTTTAAAATGTTCTGTCTCAAAAGTAGATAAAGAAATAAAGAAAAGCCATTAATCTGTTCTCAATGGCAAATTAAGAAACTCGACTAACTTTGAAATTCTAATCTTCCATTTATGTCGACTTATAAATTCACTTATAATGTTGATTGTTGGTGGGTGCTCTAGTGTGATTTGCTTCTTCTTTCCTATCAAACATATATCTTCCTTATCTCTCCACCTTCTTTTGCTACACCTCTATTTTTGGACACTTAAATGACCTTATTGTGTTGCAAGTGCTGTAAAACTCTCACTAAAATTAAAGGAAAGTTCACTTCTATATTCAGGAAACAATCATCTAGGAGGTCAAGATTTCAACCAGCGTCTGATGAATCACCTGCTGGGTGTGATAAGTTCTCGTTACGGCCTCAGCCTGAAGGACAAGGAGGACATCCAGGGCCTGAGGCTGAAGGTGGAGGAAGCCAAACTGAATCTCACCAGTCAACAGGAGGTGCTGATCTCTTTGACGTTACATTCTCTCGACAATGTGGTTTTTTCTGAGAAAATTTCAAGGACTCAGTTCGAGAAGCTGAATGCTGATTTATTCGAAAAAGTATTAATACCGATCAATAGAGTGCTGGAGAGTACAGAGTTACTACCAGAAGATGTGGATGAAATTGTTCTTGTGGGGGGTTCAACAAGGATTCCAAAAGTTATTGAAATGGTTTCGGAGCATATGGGCAAGCGGCCGAACACGCACATTGACCCAGAGTTGGCTGTGGTGACTGGGGTAAGTGTGCAAGCTGGTATCTTAGGAGGCATGTGGCCCCTCACTGTCAGTGCTGTTGAGTTACCGTCGAGGGTGAAAAAAATGCGTGTCCATTGAGCACATCTCCTATAATATCGTCGACTAAGCTAGAAGCAGTGCAGTCCAGTCCAGATTACAGTGCAATAGATCAGAGACAGTAGTCAGCAAACTTGGAGGATCATGCCTGGCTGGTTACGGTATCTTAGTGTGTAGCATTAGCTGGCACAAGATATTACTGTCTTATTCGGACATTCATTCCTGTGTAAGTGTGTGCGTGTGTTCTCGCAGAACAGATAAATTGAGACAAATGGTTGGTATAAATAACATTGGTTTTGTTTTCATTCTTGACAAAACTATTTTGTAAAGTCTTAACTTTAATTTAAATTGTGTCGTAGATGAACTCAACTTGTATTTCATCTAGATCAGAAAGATTTTCACTGAAATGAATATTCGCAACTGCAGTTTCTGTGCCTTGTATGAAAATTGATGGGAATAGTTTTAACATTGATATTGAACATACAAAGGTTTTAGTAAAAAGTCCCTTCAATGTTGATACAGTTGTCCTTGTAACAATAATAATAATAATAATAATAATAATTAATAAATAGCATTTATATAGGGCATACCCCTGCTCAACAGCAAGCTCTATGCACTTTACACTATGTTATTACCCGAGCAAACCGTAGAACTCTCAGAAACATTCTCAGCTTAGGCATACAGTACAAGCAGCTGATTAAGCGCTCAAACACTAACAAACTGACAAGATCTTTCGCTGTCCATGGCTGGGCACCCATTCCCACCTGGGTGAAGTGAGGAAAATTAGTGTAAAGTGCCTTTCCTAAGGACACAACAACGGGATTCGAACCCACGACCGCACGGTTGCGAGTCCGAGAGCCTAACCACTAGGCCACCGATGCCTCATTACAATCATTACATTGTGTTTGAGGAAGTCTTTTGCAGTACCCAGTATGGACCAGTAAGAACAGTTGTTGCTTTCCTTTTATAAGGAGTCATTAAAAAGATACCTTTCTCATCAATGTGGGTAGTTGGCGGGTGCTCTGGTTTGGTTTGTTCCTTCCTTCCTGTCAAACATCTATTGTTCTTATCTCTCCTTCTTTTCTTTTAATGTTACTCTCTAGTAACACCTTCAGTCTTCGGCACTTGTGTGATCTAAGGGCTGTACAACTTTTACTAAAACTAAATCTCATCAACAACTGGTGACTTTGCAAGTTTTGTTATAAGTTTTATCTCACATATTTGTGCCTGTTTTGTCTTGAGATAGGGACTAACTGTGTTCTGAAATTCATTTGCTAATGATAATATATTAAATATTGTTACTGTACACCATTATTACTACTGTTTGCAATTAGTACTATACTAATTTTACTCTCTGTTGAAAATAATTTTTGATCTTTTCAAAAAGTCATTTAGAATGTGGTTGGTACAAAATGTCAGGAATTCATCTGTTTCTTTGGGTTTTTAAGATTAGGATTGATGTTTTCTATTCCCTCTCTTCATTTCCCTCTTTCCTAGCCTATTATTTTTGTTGGAAAGAAAACGGAGAGAAACTAAAGTAGCTTAATACTAATACCCACTTTCTAGTATCATAACCTGTTCTCACTAGTTTTATTTATGCCACTTCTATGCTTTGTAAATCTGATGCGAGTTATAATCAGCTGCTACTTTTAGGGCATTTCAAATTTTAGTCTCTTAATGTTTTTAAAATGAATGAATAGTTAGTATTTTGGGGGTAAAATGGAGGTGTGATATTATAATTGATTGTTGTTATGGGAAGGAGAAGGGTGAAATGTGTGTGAGTAAGTTATTGTATTTGCATATATCATTTCATCGCTTAGAGATGCTAAATGTTTACAAGTTGACATGTGATAATGAGCGAACCTGTCTGGATGATAATTACAGTTAAAATTGTCTAAGACGGCCATCCATTGCTGAGGAGAAAATTGGTTGTCTTGCAAAGTGCCATTATATTGGGGGAGGGAAAATGCAAGGAGAGAAATGAGAAGTGTTCGTTTGTACGTGTGATTGTCTTATACAGGTGGCCATTAGAGCTGGTTTGACTGGATATCCCCTTGTTTGTTACTGTGCTAGTGATTTGTGTTGTGGAATTATATGTTTGGTACCTTTTGTGTGTCTTTCTTTTTTAATTGAATGCTTTTTTTAAAATTGGATTATTCAACTTAATTTATGGAAGAGAGAGGGGGGTTTGATGTCTTCTGTCAGAAGGCAAATGTGATATGGTTCCAGCATTTTCTCTGTATAAAAATATATGCACAAAGAGATTTGAACGACAGTTTTTCCGTGCTCTACCTTTCTGTTATGCTTCTGTGGTTCTTCTCTATCCTTGCACGTTTAATGTCTGTCTAGGTGAAGAAAGAATATTGTATGACTTTGACCATGTGTTTGAGTGAAGTTTTAAAAAAAAATCTGATTTGAGCTATTCAACTTACTATTACTATGGAAAACATACTATGTGATTGAAAGTATTTTTGGTATGGTGTAAGTATTTACTGTCCCCCTCTCCAAAACAATGAAACTTTCTAACAGAGCATGGAAGTCACTGTGGAGTACTGAAAAAGAGTAATTTTTGATAATGAGCTTTTTTATAATGGAAGAACAGTTTTTGAAATATGCATGAATGGTATTTGTGTGGACTGGACAAAAAAATGTGCGATATGGACACTTATGTGAAAAAAGGTGGCTCTTTAAAAAAGTCTTTTATAGTGATGAATTATGAGTAGAACATAGTCACTTTTGCATAGTCAAATGATCATAGTATAGTACAGTACTATTCCCATATGTGTTGTTGATAGAATCACAAAGGCTGGAATGTTCAGAATTCAGATTTATTTGCAGAGAACAACAGTTCTAACAGGCTGGGTCATGCTGCGAAGAAGTGCGTATATACCCAATGAACTCAATGAATGATGACACGACTTACGTGTGCTCAAGAGAAGGGAAATGACCAAATGCTCTGCTCTACAAAAAGGTCTTATCTGTATTATTATTAAGGTGAGCTTCAGACTTCAGAGAAGACAGATACAAATCAAAAGGCATTGACCTCACACAAAAAAGATGAATCAGTGTTTTTAACCTCTTCCTCCCCCCCCCCCCCCCCCCCCCCCCCCCCCAGCTGTTTACCAGTGAAATGTTATTGCCTCATAACCTTGTTTCTTGCCAGGATTGTAATCTTTATTCATCATCTGCGACAGACATTGGCGATCATTGTTCTTTATTATCTTAAAAATGCTTCTGCTGTATATGTATATTGAGGTCTGACATATTTTCTGTGATAAGTTTGCATTTACATATGTTAGTGACTTGAGAAAATGTTTTTTTGTAAGTTGAAGATGTCTCTCGAATGTTTTGAGTTATAGTGTTTTTATAAATTCATGTTTAACTTCTTAGTTTAGTCAAAGAAGTTGAATGGTTCACAGTTATTTAAACATTAATGTTAGTGATTTACTGATAGTGTGTATTTGCTTTTGATGGAAGGCTTGTCAAGTGGCAAAATGTTTAGATAAGAAGCAGTACCTCTTGAGTGCCCATGTTACTTTTATTTTCCATAGTGGAAATTGTCCAAGATGGCCACCCATTGTCAATAAATAAGAAAAGTTTTTGTCTATAAGAAAGTGAACGTCTTGGACAGTGTCATTATAATAAAGAAAAAACAGAAGGAAAGTGGGGAGTAGTCATTTGTACAGGTGATTGTCTTGGACAGGGAGCCGTTAAAGCAGTTTTGACTGTTGGCATTTTACTTACTTAACGTTTTCATTTTGAATAAGTGATGGACAGATTACTGGGAACTTCAAAATATGTCTGTTAACCTTTCAGGTCTTGTTGTATCTGTCTATATACGGTTGGAGCTATTTATGTTGAGTTTGGCGTAAATTTATGGCTGTGAATACTGGGTGAATGGATGTATTCTGCAAGTACCAGTGCCTAACTTATATATATGTGAGGCATCGTGGTGAAATCAGGCACTCGTCAAAAGGATCAAATTGAAGAAACCAACTTTTTTCTCCCTGTTAAACAATTTGTATGATTTTCTGTTTTGGGCTCAGTGCCTTTTATGTCCATTAAAAAAATGTTGATCAAGGGCACAAAAAATGTAAATTTACAGTTTCTGTAGACACCTAAGCTTTGGAAGTCACCAAACTTTGGCGGCCATTTTTTTTCTAATTTTACTACTGACACCAAGTCACTCCCACTGCTTTCAGTCACAAATATCTAAACTTTTATTCAAGACAGATGAGTTTTATTTTTCATGGAAAGCAAGGCAAAGGAACAGATTGAGCCTTTACCAATAACGCCACATACTCAAAAATTAACGAATGCCTGATGCCACCATATTGTGACACATATTACATACCACTGTTTTATTTTTTTATTTCATCATTCATTTTAAATTCGTAATTGCACACCACAGTCTTTTACACTTACATCCATGAAATTGATTTTTGTTTAATAAAAGCTAAGACTGAATGATAATCTAGAAACACGTGATGTGAATGAGGTATTTTATTTTATGTGGCGAACCCAGCCAGGCTCTCGTTCTGGGTCTTTTGACTATAAAATTTAAACTTTTTGTATCATAAGGAGAGGAGGGGCTCCTCCCTACTGAACTGACCGTGCTGTGTTCAAAGGGATGGGGAACTCTTTAAACTCATATTTATTCTTGAAGGGATTGCTTTTCAATTCTAAATAGTTATTCTTTTTTTGGGGTTTTTTTTTGACAAACTCCTCTACTTGTTGTATGTTTGAGACTTAACACTCTGGAGAAATGATTGTTTATAATATTTCTGAATAAAGCTGTTGTGAGGAACTTCTGCTCATGACATTTGTATTAATTTATTTTTTAAAAAGGGATGGTTCACGAATTGATGAAGACCACATGTTTTGAGATCTCGTTTAGTGAAAAAGAGTATTTTGTAAAAGAGTGCGATATTTTCCACAAATTTGCAACAGAAAAATACATTATAGTATAGTCTGTGGACATTGAATTATTTTCTCTATATTTGTTATTATCACATAAGTGTTCTGTAGTTTGTTTATACTCTCCTTGATGTGCTGTATTTATTTGCGGACGGAAAATCTTTTGAAATGTCAATTTATTCTAGTTTAAAAAAAAGATTCATTCTTTGTCTTTTGATGTGGTCTCTTTTCCTCGTATAGCATCAAACCACACTGAATAGTCTTGTTAGTTTTTTGGGTCACAGTCAGGTGGGGAGTAAAATTGTTGGTTTGCTGCAAGCTCTTGCAATGTAAAATAATGTTGAGTGACTGAACTGAAATGAAGTTTAAAACTCCAGTTATCATATAAGCTTAACAACTACCTTATGACGTTTAGCGATAGGAATGCAGATCTAAACAAAATTATAGGTGGGTTTTTTTACACAGTTTAGATCTTTTAAGGAGAAGGGCTGCAACTGTGCCTGTGCAGGTTGTTTATTTGCTTTTTCTCCTTCTTTTTTTTTCTACATATCGTCTGTTACGAGTTTTAAATTTCAGGCACAGTGGCTACAGCTGGATGGAAGATTATGGAATATGATACGTTACGGTTATGTAGGTGGAAAGTTGTCAAGTGATCTGGTGTGGTTTGCTCCTTTTTCCCTGTCAAACATCTAATCTATCATCCTCATCTCACATCCTTGTTTTCTGTGTATCACTCTCAAGTAACACTTGTAACCTTTGGCGCTTATACTTATATGAACTATTTGTATTGCAACCATAACGTTATGCTGTAAATGGACTGTGAGGTGACTATTTTCAGCTACTAAAGTGATTTAGTACAGTATAACAACTGTTTACACCGTCAAAAGGTGACGTTTATTTAATTCAATGTACATAATGTGCTCATCCTCATGAATAGATCTTTACCCTCATTTCAAATCAAAAACCCATTCGTCAAAAGAAGAAATGAATAGATCATGATATTTGGATGTGTGTGTGTGTGCTTGTGTCCAAAGCATGACCTTTTATGCATGATTTTAAGTGTACGAATTTAAAAAACCCACTTTTCAGTACAAGTGTGCTTCAAAAATTCAAGCAGCAGTGTTTGTTTTCAAATAGTATGATGAGGACTTCAAACAAGGTCTTATGTGCGCGCTCATATGACCTTACGCAGTTGCGAGCGCCGTAAAACCCTATACTACACTACTAAGGTCTTATGTTTGAGTTCTAATTTGTGTTATCAAAGTGTACCTGCATTGATAAATTTAAATAAGAGATTTTTTATTCAGGTCAAACAAGGGGAATGTAATCTTTACGCAAAGATGTTCACAAGAAGTTAGTTTCTGTCTAAAAAGATGTATTGTAAAGTGTTGTTTTGTTTTAGATGCGCATTACTCTTCTCATATTTGTAATCATAATGTTTTTCGGATGTGTGTTGTTTTCTTTTTGTATAAGCTTGAAAGAGCTGAAAAATCAAGTTCTCTTATTACTGACTTATATATATATAAATGTATATATATACGCCCACACACACACACACTGAAACACTCATTCGTACCCACGCATATGCGCGCACACAGACATACACACAACACACACTACACTCTCTCTCTCTCTCTCACACACACACGCACACACACACAGAGACACACGCACAAGCTCTCGACGCGTCTGCACACCATAACTTCTCTTTAACTTTAACAATAACAGCTGCCATTCGTGACCTGACATACTCTGTGCAACATTTATTTTTATTTTATTTTATTTTCTGGATCACGTGACAAGACAAGCTGGGAGTCGGTGAGATTATGGTTCACTGTACGGGTAGCAAGTTAAAATGTTCCCTTTTTACTTTAGTGTAATTTTGATTTCATTCCAGTTTTAACTTCGTTTATTTTTTTCTTTTTTTTTTTTTTGGTGGTGGTGTTTTGTTTGATTGTATCAGTGGACAAGCTACCTATGCTGATAAGTAAAAGTCACTTGTCCACCAGTGCTAGTTTAAATTGACGTCTGTGGTCTAGAGTTTAGGCACCTCGCTGTTGCACGCAGGAGACCCAATTGTTGGATTCCCGAGTCGAGTCGGGAGAAATTTTTATTGAGTTTCTCGGCCCCTCTCAACGGATCTATAGACAAAGTTGTCATGGAGTTAATGTGCAATGTTCACCTCAATAACTATTTCATGCATTTGTTATTTTAAATACATCTTTTTTTAAGGTCCATTGTTTTTTAGTCATTTCTTGACGAATGAGAAATAAAGATCATGGACGGAGAAAGACAAATTAGTAACTCACTTTGACTTTACTTTGTTGTTGTTGGATTGATGTCGATTTGGTTATACTTATTATAATCTATTTTTAAAATTCTTTTTTGTATGGCGGCCCAAGGAGTCTCTCGTTTTTTTAATGTTCGGGGACCAGGACATCCAGATAAACCACAATTCCCCCCCCCCCCCCCCCCCCCAAACCCGGTTGCTTCCTTTAATAGTCGAACTTTCTTTTCTGCGAATGACGCCATGTTATTCCAGCTAGAGCCTATGTATAAGGTATAATAATGTATACTGACTTCTAAACTTTGAATTTCCATTTTCTCCACTTTTTGAAAATGGGACTTATCTGGTTATTCAACGGGAGTCTTCATTAATGGTCCCTTTTCAGAGTTATTGTAAAGTTTATTGGCAGTGCCGTAAGGGGGGGGGGGGGTGTTTTGTACAATCAAAATAGTCTAAGACGGCGACCCTTGGAGGAACAGGTTCAACAATATTTCGTTTGACATTGGGCTTTTGGGTCAGGCGTGGGGAAAAGTGTTTGTTTGTGTGTGTGTGTGTGAGAGGAGGGGGGGGGGGGCGGTAGGTATGTTAAGAGCGCCTGTCCAGTGTCTCCTACGGAGTCCTCTCGCTGCATCTTTCTCACGACGTCGCGGTGTCGAAACATGCCAAACTCCCTTCTTGACGTTGACTCGAAGGCGTGTAACCAAAGTCAGAAGAGGTAAAGGGATCAATGTACACGTTACATACTGTTTATCCGTTTTGCTGTGGTTGTGGAGAAATAATTAGGTTGCTCTATCATTCATGACACTTCATTTGTCGATGTTAATTTGCTACATACAGGTGGATGGAGGGCGCCACTGGGAAAGCCCTACTTATTTTCTTTCCCTCTGTTGTTTCTGTCTGTCTGTCTTACTTTTTCTCAGCACTAAATGACCATCATTGTTTCAATGTGCTTTTCTTTAGTCAAACAAATAAAATGTTACTTCAGGCCGTTAAGGGCTCGAACTTTAATGGCCACTGAACTGAAAAAGTAAATAATTATGCTACTCGAGTACATATTATGTACACTCTGTACGAGACGTCCGTCCTGCTGAAAAGAAAAGAATGTGCATGAACATGTAGTCTGTAGGTAATTCGTGATTTTACCCGAGAGTCGTCCATTTTACGTTTAGGTCTGGGTTTGTGACTGTAATACATGTAGTTGAGATTGTCTTTGCAAATGGTGAGCCGAAATATGTGGAGCATAAAAGATTTAGAGACAAGAGACTGAGGGGGCAGTAAAAAAAAAGAGAAGAAAAGGGGGGGGGGGGGGGGGGCTCTATGGCATAAATAAGTGTGGAAGGCTCTCGAGAGGTCACGGTGTTCGCCTCTTTTTAAATAGGTCCCGGGTTCCAAAACCTGACAGCGACGGAAAACTTTCTTCTCTAAAATGTTCAACTTTCACCTCCTTTCCTGCTCTCTAACCATGCGCTGTCGTCTGCTTTCGTCTCCACTTTGTGCCCCCCTTGCCCCCTCCTCTAGGCTCCTGACGCTTTCTGAAGCCTTCTACTGCTACTCCTTGGCCTGGCTCCTTCTTACTGCTGTCTTTCAGACACACCCCTCATCTTGTGCTACTGTTGGTAAGAGCTAACACCCAGCCTTCTCGTATATAGGCAAAAATGTCGGAGGTCCCGTGTGCAAGTTACGCATGTTAAAGGTCCATTTGGGGTCCTAAAACCGATAAGAGTAGGCTTCGGCCGTCTTGCGCACTCATATGACCTTATGCAGTTGCGAGCACCGTAAAACACTTACCCAAAACCATGAATTTTGCTTTCTGACCTGAAAATCAGGCCGAAGTTGGAGGTCTGAATCGGAGTGTTATCCTCCTTTGAATGTTATATAAAGAGACAGGATTCGTTCTGGATTTATTCTTTTCGTAGTAAAAGTACTCCGTAACATTCAGAAAACAAAGCTCATTGAATGCAACAGCAGAGTAAGGGTTTTCAACATTTACTTGTGACTGAAAACAGGTCATTTAAAAAAAGAAATAATGACTTAGGATGTTATTAAAACAAAACATTGATATATTACTATTTTTCGGTGGCTTTATAATAAAATTCTTATCGATTCCGATAGGTTTTCGGGGGGGGGGGGATGTTTGCGCTTATTACTACGACACAGGCGCTTTTTTTTCCTAATGGTTTATTTGATGGTAATTTGTTAGCATTAATTATTCAACTATCTGTTCTTTTGTTCACTAAGCTTCAAATGGACAGTGGGGAATCGGAAGAATAAAATAATGTGTTAATTGTAGCGGTATACGCCCATTAACACAGCTCCATGGGTGCTCAATTAATCAGTTGGTCACATCTGTAGAGATCATATACGTTATATTTTATATTTTTTTGCTTTTCCAATATTTCCGGCAAGGGCTGAGCCTCTACCCATTTCTGCACTTAGGCGCTTTCCGCGTCTGCCATGGCCTTTGACTCCGCCAGCCATGAGTTTTATCTGGCCTGGTATCGTAATCGTAACCAAAAGGTCCACCATTACCAGCGCCGCCAGCACTTCTACCGTGACCTCTATATCCACCAGTACTTCCGCCTCGGTCTTTGTAGTTGTAGCCATCAGCACTTCCGCCGAGGCCTTGCCGACCACCAGCACTTCCGCTGTAACCGTCATCATCTCCATTGCCCCCGTAACCATCTGTTCTCTTAGCATCTCCGCTATCCCCGAAACAGCCAGCTCTGTTATCATCTCCATAACCCCCGCAACCATCACCAGCTATCTCAGAATCTCCGGCCCCTGCACCAGTACCTCCTCCCCATCCTTTCAGATACACGGGCAGCGGGTAGAAGCAGAGGCTCTTGTCGGTGATGGTCACCGCTATGCTGACGACCATGGTGAGCAGAATGATGCACACAATGAACCAGCCCACGGAACCCGTGCTCAACAAGCTATCCGGGAAATTGTAGCAGCATTCTTCCTCGGCCTCGCCATCTTCGTCTGTCAAACGTCCTGAGAAAACAAAATATAATAATTTACGCAAATCGAAGCGGAGGGGGAATACTGGAGAGAGAGAGAGAGAGAGACAGAGAGAGAGAGAGAGAGAGAGAGAGAGAGAGAGAGAGAGAGACTGGTGCGGAATGTGTGTGTGTGTGTGTTTGAGACACACACAGAGAGAGAGAGAGAGAGAGAGAAGTGCGGTGTGTCTCAAACACACACACACACACACACACACACACACACACACAGACAGAGAGAGAGAGAGAGAGAGAGAGAGAGTGAAAGATGGAGGCACAGAAAAAGAGGGGGAAGAGGGAAACTATACATAATAACATTTTATTTTACCCTTCTCTATAATTTGCTTTCTTGCAACTTATTAATGTTGTGTATTCTCTTACTTCTTCACTTATTCATCTCTACTTATTAATAGTATGCATTAAAGGAAGCCATACATCTACTTGCTTATTCATTCATACCATTTTCTTTGAATAGGCGTATTTACAATTATTTAATATATATATATATATATATACAGAGCGTGTATTAACAAAAGAGCAGGTGAAAAAGTATATACGTGAGATTTGAAAAAAAAACCCAACAAGCCCCACAAACACACCAAAAAAACCCCAAACCAATCAAACCATCCCCTAGAACCACACAAAAACAGCCAATTACAACAAGAGGAAACATGAGCGTGCCAACAAAAGTAGCCAGACGAATAAAAGTTAAACTATGGAACATTGCGGAAAGTACACATTCTTAACAAAAGTTATGAAAATGGTAAACCTTAAGACAAAAGAGGCTGCACTTAATACATGTACATGTACTGTAACACATTACCACCATACTACTGGCAGAAATAAGAAATCTCGAATGAGGCGAAAGTTAAAAAGTGTGAGCTACTGTACAAAAGCACTCTGTAAAAAAAAACAACCAAAAAAA